TTAATTCCTTACAATCATTTTGATCCACGTAATGAATCCAAGTATTGTGATCATTGGTTTAAAAAATATAAACCAGCATGATACATGCATTGTGAACCAAGTGTCTGGACTGAAATGTCTAATCAAAGAACTAAGACCTGTTAGTAATTTACCTAAACCGATGTCGTTTTAAGTTACATGGTTTGTGCAAAGTTAGTTTCTCCTCACCGCTCTTTGCTTGCTGCTACTGTTTAACTGACTGAAAACATATAAGTCTGTACTCTCTATATCTTGTGATCAATTTTTTCTCAATCAAGTATTAGAGATTTGTTTCTTTTATTTTTCGGTCTCCTCTTTTAACCCCAAATCACAAAGTTCACATGGTATCAGACCCTTCGACTCACGTTCAATGGCAACGATCTTAGATTCAAATCCGTTTGGAAAAATTCTAACAAGATGATTCAGAGCTCATCCAACTCCTTCAATTCAGCATTTCAATCAGCCTTTAGGTCGTCACTCCAAACTGACTAGAACAACTATAGAGACAATTACCACTTCTGGAAATCGCAAATTCTCTCAGCTGTGAGCTCATGAGATCGAAGACCACCTAACAAGTCTTGTTCCTTGTCCTGCACCTTTAATTTCATCAGAACATGAAATGTTGAGTGAATTAGGAGAAATTAGTCAAAAGAAAAAATACTCTTGATTATGTTTCCTGGAAAAGAACTGATAAATTTATGGTAACCTAGCTATTGGCCTTAATATCTGAATGCATGTTCACTTATGTGTCAAAATGTCAAACCTCTACATCTATTTGGTTAACTCTTGAGATTGAATTTCTGAATGACTCTAAATCTTTGAATGACTATAAATCACAAGTTTTTTTCAACGAATATTTGTCACAAAACAAGTAGAAATTTTAACCTTTATAAAGAACAATGAACAACGCATTCGTAATTGTTATGCCGACTCTTCTAAGCTTGAGAGTCTTGATTTTGTAACAATGATTTCATATGATGCTTTATTCATCTTGGAGCTCTTCATTAGAAAACATAAGGATGAGGTGATTTTTATTTAGATAGACCAAAAATGTACTCTGACATATACCTAGATGTACAATTACTCGAAAATCAACTTCCATACTATGTCTTAGATGAAATATATAAATTAGCTCTCAACAACCTTGGTCTTGAAGCTACTCCCTCTAAGCATCTTTGTTCTAAGTTCTTTGATGAAGACACGATCAAGAGCATACCCGACGAGACGATAAAAGTTCTACATTTCACGGATTTGGGTAGAATTGTACTTTTGAAAAGCTGCCCATTAGAGAAAAAGTCCAAGGGAGTTATTGGAAATATACCAAATGCGGTGAAGCTGTATGAATCGGGACTCAAGTTTAAGTATGCTAATGGAAATTGCTTATGCGACATAAAATTTGAGGAGTGAAAGCAGCGAATCCCATACTTTAAAGTAAAGGAGTTGCAAATTTCACAACTTTTGGTGCATGACGGGACGGATAAATAGCAAGAGAAACACCACTCTTTTAGTCTAACGACCTGAATAAAGCCTTAACTCCAACAAAAAAAAAAAAAAAAACCTTAAAAACTATAAAGAAATTAAGAGATTGAAAGAGCTCTCAAATTTTATTTATTTATTTATTTTTTGTGTGTTTGAAATGAGAGGAATAACACATTTTTATACTACTCAAGATGGGACAAAACATTTAATTTCCACCATTATTTTCCATCTTTTCACTTTCTAATTCTTAAAACTTCCTCCATTAATCCACTAACCTTTCACCTTTTAAATTCTCAACTCACACCACCGCTTTCATTCTATTTATTTCATTCAATTTAATAAAATATTAAAATAAGAACTGTATATTTGAAATAAGGTGTTCATTACAAAAAAAAATTCCAAACACATAAGATAACTAGATAAGTGTTGTATTCATGAAACCAACAAGTACTTGCTATAAAAAATGCAAACACACAAGGCTAGGGTTATATTTCTGAAACTAGCTAGTGCTCACTACAAAAAAATGCCAAACCAGTGGATGCCACACAAAAAAGGCTAAACACACTGGATTTTACTATTAAAAAAACCCTTATACAATTGATATTTTATTCAAAAAAAAATTAGTTTCAAATTATCTAATACAATATATATGATATCTTAAAATGACAAATTATATAATTATACTATATAAGATAATATATCACATTACTTTATAAAATATTTACATAATTGTTAAATATATAACAACCATAGAATACTTCCATAGACTTTAAAAAAGATTAAGCAAAATCATTGAATAAATCTTATATTCACAAAAAAAAATTATTTTTATTTAAAAAAAAAGGTGTGTTTTGATGTAGAAAATTCCAAGCAAAAAATGTTAAATTGAGTGCCCGTCAACTTCTATTGTATGTACCTCAAATGGAAATTTCCTCTTGTACCATGCCTCCCTAACTCCTATGTTTGATTTATATGTAATCTATTTATTCTAATTTTCTGAAAATAATTTCTTCCTCAGATGAAACATTTTATTTAGAAAGGAAATGCATAGTATTAACTCTTTTTTTTTTTTTTTTTTAACAATCGAGATATCCGCATTAGTTTACACGTACCTCAACTTATTATCGAGGTCTATTGAATACTTTACAAATCCAATAGATCAGGTAAGTCACTGATGTGATAGACGATCATTTTAAGAGATTCAAACACAAAACCTTTAGATAACTCACTCACATGGTTAAAGTCTTGCCTATTAACAAGAGAGTTGTCTCCGGCCAATGTGCCAGTGGTTTTGTCGCCTATATATAATCAAATTTTTGTGTAGTTGTGGGTTTAATGTCTGCTCATATGGTAAATTGGTATAATAAGAAAAGAGTGATACTATATATGCAAACTAATTTATATAATCTGATGTGATAATTTATTCGTAGGTAGCTTGGATGGTTAGAATGAATTAGAGAGATAGTGTGGATAGGTGCATGATCTTAGATTCGATCCCCTATCTGAACATTCATGATTTAAGTGGATCGCCGTGACAATAGGTTGCTGCATCAGTCTCCCCTAAGGATTTAAGTGAGAGGTCGTTGTTGCGTTAGCTTCCCCTAAGTATTTGAGTGGGAGGCCGTGACTGGATTGTTACACTACGTCATTGGATTTAACTTGGGGCCTATAGATAATAAATCTAATTTATGGAAATATTTTGGTAATATATTCCTTTATTTAAAACCAATATAAATAGCCTCACCCTTTCAAACTTAATGAAAAACTTTACAAAAATAATGAAAAATTTTCACCTCCCTAAAAATATTAAGTTTAAAAAAGTTAATTAATTAATTTACAGTACGATATCTATAATACATTTAATATTTCAGAAAATATTTACCAACCACTATATCCTATTTAATTCCAATACATACTAGACTTGGCAATTCATGACCCGTACCCACGGGTAAACGGGTATCCACACCTAATTGGTGGATACAGTCCCTCTATAATATACCCGTTCTAATGCGACCCGTATCTGACTTGCTCGTGAAATTTGCGGGTGGGTCGGGTAGCACCCGCGGGTACCCACAAGTGATTTAAAAAAAAAAATACAATATAATTTTTAACAAAATATTCTATATTCAAAATGAAAACAAACCCTAAATTTCTAAGTCAAAGTGTCAAACATGAAACACTCAAACTGGAAAGTGAAAAAACGCAACTCACACACTGTACACATATCACATAACACATAGCACCGGCCGTAGCAGCCACGGTGCCGACGAACAGCAGCAGCAGCACACTCACCGACTCACGGCCCTCTCACAGCTCAGTCAGGCAGGAAGCAGCCACGGTGCCGACGAACAATAGCTCCCAGAGCCGGAACACTCCAACTCTCTTCTCTGAATTCTCTCACGCAGGCACAGCACTGCAGAAGCAGCCACGGTGCCGACGAACAGCAGCTCCCAGAACACTCTCAACTCTCTTCTCTGAGTTCTCTCACGCATGCACAGCACTGCAACAGCAGCACGGTCACGGGACTCACGGCTCCCTCATAGCTCACTCACGTAGAAGTCAAGACGCAACGACGCAGCCACGGTCAGAGCTCACTGTCGTCGGCAAATGGTAGCTCCCAGTACACTCTCAACTCTCTTCTCAGACAGTCCCACGCAGCTACAGAACGCTTACGACTCCCTCACAACTTACCCACGCCGGCAGGAGGCAGCCACGATTGGGAAATTTGAATAACAAAAAACAGTGAAAAAATAACAAAAATCTGGAAAAAAAAATCACAGAAAATGTCATTTTATGCGGTTGACCCGCGGGTTGACCGTACGGACGGGTACGAGTAATGCGTATGATTATCCGTACAAAAAATTTATCCGTGGATCCGTGCCTGTCTCACCCGTGACCCGTTTCTACCCGGTCAGTACCCGCCCGCCTCGCCCGTTTGCCAGGTCTAATACATACACCTAACGAGCACACCCTCATTTAATCCGGACCGTCCAACCACTTCATCATAAAAAAAAAAAAACAGCTAAAAGTAAAAAAATTCAAAAATAATTGTGTCCTCGAAACTTCTTTACAGAGTACAGACTTTCTCTCGTAACCTCACCGCCACCGCTGCCGCCTGACCGCCACCGCTGCCGCCTGACCGCCACCTCTTCAGGAGGTTTTACAACTCTTGCTTTTCCACTACTCCACGTCATGTTTATTTCCGCTTTTGCCATCGCAATCTTCTCTAAACTAAACTAAACTAAACCAAACCCCTCACTTACCCTCTCTCGTCTAAACTAAATTGTAGATAGATGACAGAATGGAATTATTTTGTTAGTGATGTTATGGATAACATCTGTATTCTGTAAAGATTATATATATAAATACATCTGTATTTAGAATACAAGTCTCAGTCAAAAAGGGCATGAGTTATTTGTATTATATATCTAAACTAAGCTACGAATGCAACTCCAGGCGGTAAAACCCGCGTGAGAATTGTGGTTTGTGGAGGAAAGGGTACCGGAAAATCGAGCTTAATTGTAACTGCCGCCACCGATTCGTTTCCTGCCAATGTGCCGCCGGTTTTGCCGCCTACACGGCTGCCTGAGGAATTCTACCCCGACCGCGTGCCCATAACCATTATCGACACCTCTTCAAGGTCTCTCTTTTTTATACGGGTCAAGATTTGAACTTGTTTGTGCCAGTTGTTATGATAATATTGAGCTTGAATTTGGAATGTTTCTAATTGTTCCTGCGTGTGGGGTTTAATAAATTAGTACGGAGGATAGAGGTAGACTGAGTGAAGAACTGAGGCGGGCTGATGCAGTTGTGCTTACTTATGCGTGTGATCGGCCTGAGACCCTTGAAGAATTAAGTGAACTTTGGCTTCCAGAACTTCGTCAATTAGAGGTTTGAATTTTTTGTTTCCTTAAATTTGCTGTAGCATTGCTTCTGGTTTTGTTGCTTTGCTGAAAATGTGACCTGGGGTACTTTAATTCTTCAGCCAATAGACAATAGACTTTGAATAACTTATGAAAAGAGTCATTTGATTTGCAGTGCACCGAATAAAATTTTGGGAGCCTACTGCTGACTGTAATCTCCTTAAATTTCAGGTTTACCAAAGTGTCACAATTTCTAATCTAATTGCTAAAAAAGGCATTTTATAAGCTAAAAAGCTGAGAAGAAGTTACCTTAGAAATTTGTTGAAGCTATATTAAACTAATTTTCTTTTTTAGTTCAGGGTTTTGGACTGGGATGTTAACTTAAAATAGGAAGAAGCTTCTAATATTTATTAATTATTGTTGTCAACTTAGACTTTCTGAACCCTTGAGTGATATAGATAAATGGTTGTGAATTTGTGTCTTATTATAAGTTAAAAAATTTAAGTTTCAAGGTCCTGACCTTTGGTAATAGAGTAGATTTAGTTTTCGGGAAATTATTTTATATTTGGCATTTGTATGTGTTTTTTTATGGGTATGTAATCTATGATCAGGTGAAAGTGCCAGTTATAGTGGTGGGTTGTAAGCTTGATTTAGAGATGAGAGCCATCAATGAGCTGGAACGGTAATGATGCCTATAATGCAACAGTTTCGAGAGATTGAAACTTGCGAGTGTTCTGCATTGAAGCAAATTCAGGTATGTTGCAAGGCCCTCATTGATCTTTATTTTATTGTTTCATAGGATTTTGTAGTGATATTTTACAATTCATGGGTTCCTGATATAATGTGGTTTTGTTCTGGTTCTAGTGATCTGTTTGTATTGTTGAATACATGTGGGATTTTAAGCAGGTTATAATATCCTGTACAATCAATATGTTTTATGGCCTTTGAGTTTCACCTCTTGCCATTAATTTTGTCATGAGCTTTCATATTGATGCCCTTCTTGCATCATTGATCTAGTGGAAGCTCTGGCTACAAGGATATGTTATTACCCTGAATTCTGTAGTCAGTTGGATGATCTGTGATATTTAACCTGCCTTTGTTTTAGAATTGATTATAATATTCTGAAATTGATGTTTAAATTTGACAATTTATAGATCCCGAGGTTTTCTACTATGCGCAAAAAGCATGCTTCATCCAACAGCCCTCTATTTGATCAGGAAAACACAGCTTTGAGCCCCGGTGTGTGGAGCCTTGAAGCGTATCTTATTCTTTGTGATCATGACAGGGAGGTTCTCTTAGTGATGCAGAGCTGAATGATTTTCAGTGAGTTCTTCTTCCTGCTTTCCTTGTTTTAGGGAAGGGAGGTTAATTATTTGTCGTGTAAGTTTCTGTGATTGAATTCGTACATGTTAATACAAGTTCTTGTGAAGTTGTAACATCTTGTGTTTGAGTTTGTGAAGGTCCTAATAATTGTTTTAACAGGTCAAATGTTTCAATTCCCATACAACCTTCTGAAATAGAGGTGTTAAGAGTTGTGCAAGAAAAATTGCGAGAAGGAGTCAATGATCGTGGTCTACACTGGCAGGGTTTCTTTCCTTCATGCACTATTTATTGAAAAAGGACGCCTTGAGTAAACATGGCTGTCCTTAGGAAATTTGGATATAATAATATTAAACTTGCGGATGAATTGATTCCACTTCATCATTCAAACGAGCACCGTACAGTAACAGTTTTTTAAGCACTAATGATTGCTACCACTCTAGTTCAACACAAGTGATCTTACCTGTTGTATTTTTTTTTTATGTATTTTTGATTTTTCCTAGTTTGAATGGAAACTGTCTTAAGTTATAAAAGAGCTTTATAAAATTTTATAGAAGAATTTCCAGATTGAAACATGTGATTTTACTGCTTTGAAGCTCTAGGTTCATGACATGCTAGACTGAATTCATTGAACATATCTTTAGAATACTGGAGTTTCTTTGGTTGCTAGTAAGAAGTTATTTAGAAGAATTCAAATAAATTTTATAATATTATGATGCAAAAGCAATTGTGCTGGATTGATACAACTGTTTACTTTGCTTCTGGAAGTGGACCAAGAACTTAGGCTAGTTTGTGCACTTCTCCCTTCTTTGTGGAAATTTGCTAGCCTGCTTCTATGGTCTTGTCTGCAGTTGGTATATCAGCCCTGATTGCCGTGGTCCTTGGGACTCGAGAAAAGCTCTCTGTTTAAACTTCTTATTATTTAATGGTGAATTTTTATGGGGAAGGAAAAAGATGAACTTGCAGATACTTTCTCCTCTCTCTAGGTGCATTTCTTCCAATTCTAGAACCATAATTCTTCGCTTTGACTCTCTTTTTTCAGCTAAGGAGGTTCTTCTTTGAGATGAATTTCATCCTTTCACCCTTTTCAAGTGTCCTATTACTATTGGGTGGGATCGATCTGAGCAGCATCTCAACTAGTAAACAACTTATTAGGAACTCAATACGGCCGATCAAAAGTGTTACAAAATCATTGAAAATATTAAGTGTAACAAGGGGCCAAACTTGGTCTACAAGTTACAACTGAAACCAAAGTTTGCAGAATATAACACTTCGAAATTTGAAATCTGGTTGGGTGTTGCTGAGCATGGATTCTAAATAGTTGAAGCCTAGCGTTGTTTTTCTAATTCTGTTATGTTCATGGGGTTTTAGGTTGTCTCTTATCAACTTTTGGTGAGACATTCTACTTAATCTAGTGTTAAGTTGAAATGTTTAATTCTTTTGTCTGTCTGTGCTATGTCATTGTGTATTTTAATGTTTGCCTCCATGTTTGTTTGCAGCTTGCAGTGTTATTTAGATGCTTACTTTTTGTTTTTGCTTTTGTGTAGAGCGTGGAGCTGACTAATGAAGCTGTTGAATTTTTGAAGGGAATCTTCGAACTTTTTGACTCTGATAGTGTATGTCTTGGTGCATACTTTACGTTTAACTGTGCTTCTGCACAATTAATGCTTTCATTATGATATGGTTAGAGATTAACTGTTTGCCAAGTAGTTCACTAGCTTACAAGATCCTAACAGTAAGTGTTTCATACCAGGACAATACCCTGCGGCCAACTGAAGTCGATGATCTGTTCTCTACAGCGCCCGAATGGTATTATAATGATCATTTTTTACTAATTTCAATAACTTATCTACTTATAGTAGAAAACCATGTACTCGTCTGTTGGATCAACAGGTCACTCAAATTCTTCTGTTGTTCATTTGATTTGATGAATATTAAGGAATAGCTGTTGAAAAATACTTCTTCAGATGATGATATAGAATTATTACTTAATACAACATGGTTATCTGGGGAGAAATAGGGATTGCCACATAATATTCTTGCTAGATTGAAAGGACATTCAAAAGAAGAGCCAAAGGGATGGATAGAAGATTTGCCTTGTGCAATGAAGTTGTATGAGTCAGGAGTGAAGTTTAAGAGTGTTGAAAGAGAATGCGTACTTGAGGTAAAATTTGAAAAGCAAAAGCAGCGAATCCCATGCTTTAATCTACATGAGTTGCAAATACCACATTTCGAGGTGAATTCATGTACCGAACGTTTACTTAGGAACATTTTAGCTTTTGAGCAGTGTCATTATCCGTTGGATACTTGGTTTTGCAATTACATAATGTTTTTGGATTATCTTATTGATACTGAAAAAGATGTGGATTTGCTAGGGGAGTTATCACCAATCATTTGGGCAACAATACTTTAGTAGCAAATCTTTTTAATAACGCTTGCAGAATGACGACAATAGCAATGTCCTTCTACTGCCCTAACATTTGCAAGGAACTTAAAGAACATTATAACAATCCTTCGAACAGAGCAAAGGCAACTTTGAAAAGAGTATACTGGAGGGGCACAGCAACTGTTGCAGCAATTATACTCCTCTCACTGTCACACAGACTATAATTTCTATCTTGCAGGTCGTCTGATGTATTAGAATCGTTTTCTCCTTCTTGTGTATTTTCAATTTTTTATTTAAAGCTTTGTAAGCCTAATAATGTATGTTTGCTATGTAGTGCTCATGACTCACTGTATTATATCCATTATTTCTAATAATTTTCTTTAATTTTCGTGGAAAACAAACACCATCAAGAAAATGTCTTCTCAAAACCTCTCTGAAACTTTCAATTCTTCGTAACTCAAAGAGCCCAAATCAGAGGATAAGTACTCTGCTTCAATTTCTAATCCATCTCCTCAATTTACTTAAAATGAAACAAATGACTAACACTCTCACTGTTGCTGCCTTGCTGGTACACTTGTCATTGATGATGAACTATATTAATGTACATAAATGGTGGTCTGGGCATTAAAAATATGTGACTCTGGTAGCTAATCTCAAATTTAGCTAGATGAGATTCTATTACATAGCAAGAGACTCATTTTATGTTACAGACTCAACACTTTCACATTGAAAAGCATAATGCTTAATTAACGTCAGCTCATGGTAACTTCTCTGCCGATTTTGCTGCTAAGACCTGGTATTAATTTGGATATCAGTTTTAAAATTCAGGAAGAGCTTCATTTCAAGCTCAATTTCGTGATCATGGAAGAGTTTCTGATACAAGTACTGGTTGGCAGGCGAAAATCAGTATGTTATTTATGAAGTAAAGTCAGGTTGCCGAGAAGGACTTAGTGAAGATATCTGCAATTAAAGCTCATAATAAACGCAAAAGATGAGGTATATAGGTTCTTTCAGTTGAGTGTTTAACAAGCTTTCATCATAAGTCGTTGGATTAGCATTTTTTTAATAGGCAATAAAGCAGATGATAAAGCAAAAGAGCTAATAAAGCAGATGATAAAGCAAAAGAGCTAGTATATGTGCTTAGCTTGATAATTGGGATTGTAATATGTAATTGTGGGATTTTAACGAAAGGAATCACATTATCAAGGTCGTGTATATAATATACAAATGCTGGGGAAGTGGAAGTCATCAATAAACAAAGAGAGAAGGGAGAGATTTACCATAAGTAATTCATCCCTGCGGCTGTGAGTTGTGGATTCCACTACTATCTCTTTCTGTCGAAAATTCGAAATATTCAGGTGCACATATGCTTCATCACTTATTCATCTTCTTTCTTTCTCTTATTATTAATTATTGTTAGTTACTATTCTGTGTTTGTCATAATATTCAGGACAATGAGCTTGAAGATGAGTTCTTCCATTAATATTAGAAATGAAGATCATGAAAATCTGAGCAAAGGGTTGCTAATTAACATCAGAGAAAACTTCGAACCGGAGCCATCTCCTGAGTGTTGTATTTATCGGGTTCCTAAACGCCTTCGCATGGTAAATGAAAAAGCTTACACTCCTCAATTAATCTCAATAGGCCCTCTTCATCACGGTAAAGAGGAATTAGTTGATATGGAAAAGCAAAAAACAATATATTTACAAAGTTTTTTTCAACGAATATCTGTCACAAAACAAAGTGAAATTTTAACCTTTATAAAGAACAATGAACCACGCATTCGTAATTGTTATGCGGTCTTCTAAGCTTGAGAGTCTTGATTTTGTAACAATGATCATTGATGCTTTATCATCTGGAGCTCTTCATTAGAAAGCATAAGGATCGCGTGATTTTATTTTAGATAGACCAAAGTTGTACTCTGACATATGCTTAGACATGCAATTACTCGAAAATCAATTCCAACTTTGTCTTAGATGAAAATATAATTAGCTCTCGACAACCTTGATCTTCAATCTACTCCCTTTAAGTATCTTTGTTCTAACTTCTTTGATGAAGAGACGATCCAGAGCATACCCGACGAGAGATAAAAGTTCTACATTTCACGGATTTGGGTAGAGTGATATTTTGAAAAGCTGCCCATTAAAGTAAAAAAGTCAAGGGAGTTATTGAAAATTTACCAATGTGGTGAAGCTGTATGACTGGAGTCAGTTTACGTGTGTTGATGGAGATTGCTTACTCGACATAAGATTTGAAGAGCAAAAGCGAGCGACCATACTTTAAAGTAAAGGAGCTGCAAATACCACAACTTGGTGCATGATGGGACGGAATCTCTGCTCAGAAATGTAATGGCTTTGGAGCAAGTTCACTATCCGAAAGGCTGGTGGTTTGCATTATGTTGATTTACTGGATCGTCTATTGAAACTGAAAAAGATGTTGATTTGCTTCATGAAAGGGGATATTTTGAACTGGTTGGGTGATAAGCTTCTGTGGTGAGTATGTTAACAAACTTTGCGAAGAAATTTATACAGGAGATCGTGTTACTCACCATTGCAAGGAATTGAAAACACACTACAACATCCTTGGAACCATAGCAAGGCAAAGTTGAAAAGTGTGTATTCAGCAATCTTTGGAGAGGCACAGCGACTATTGCGGCAGTTGTACTTTTACTGCTCATTGTAATACAAACTGTTTGCTCTATTGTGAGCTGAGTGATATTTGATTAATTAAATTGTATGTTAAACTCAAATTACACTAATTTATACATGGAGTGATCCACTCTTTTTTTTTTTTTTTTTTAAATTTATTGAAGTTTGTGTGCAAATATATTTAATTTCCGGCCAAAATATTCAGGTTCAAATGCACTTGTTTCATTGAATATTTTCATTATATATTCGTGTTCTTAATTCCTTACAATCATTTGATCCACGATAAATGATCCAAGGTTATTGTGATCATTGGTTTAAAATATAAAATATAAACAGGCATGATACATGCATGTGAACCAAAGTGTGTGTGACTGAAATGTCAGTAATCAAAGAACTAAGACCTGTTAGTAATTTACCTAAACCGATTGCGTTTTAAGCTACATGGTTTGTGCAAAATAGTTAGTTTCTCCTTCACGCTCTTTGCTTGCTACGTTTAACGACCTGAAAACATATAAGTTGTACTCTCTTATCTTGTGATCAATTTTTTCTCAATCAAAGTATTAGAGATTTGTTTCTTTTATTTTTCGCGTCTTCTTTAACTCCCTAAATCACAAAGTTCGACATGGTATCAGACCCTTCGACTACGTTCAATGGCACACGATCTTAGATTCAAATCCGTTTGGAAAAATTTAACAAGATGATTCAGAGCTCATCCAACTCCTTCAATTCAGCATTCAATCAAGCCTTTAGGTGTCACTCAACTGACAACTATAGAAACTATAGAGACAATTACACTTCTGGAAATCGCAATTCTCTCAGCTGAGCTGAGCATGGAGCTAGTCTAGTCGGATCGTGACCTCAAATAGACCTAAGTCTTGTTCCTGTTGCACCTTTAATTCTATCAGAACATGAAATGTTGTGGTGAATTGAGAGAAATTAGGTCAAAGAAAAAAAAATTAATCTGATTATGTTTCCTGGAAAGAACTGATAAATTTATGGTAACTAGCTATTGGCCTTAAATCTGAATGCATGTTCACTTATGTGTCAAAATGTCAAACTCTACATATTGGTATTACTCTTGAGATTGAATTTCTGAATGACTCTAAATCTTTGAATGATGATAACATCACAAGTTTTTTTCAACGAATATTTGTCACAAAACAGTAGAAATTTTAACCTTTTAAAGAAAAATGAACAACACGCATTCGTAATTGTTATGCCGACTCTTCTAAAGCTTGAGAGTTTGATTTTGTAACAATGATTTCATATGATGCTTATTCATCTTGGAGCTCTTCATTAGAAAAACATAAGGATGAGGTGATTTATTAGATAGACCAAAAATGTACTCTGACATATACCTAGATGTACAATTACTCGAAAATCAACTTCCATACTATGTCTTAGTGAAATATATAAATTAGTCTCAACAACCTTGGTCTTGAAGCTACTCCCTCTAAGCATCTTTGTTTCTAAGTCTTTTATTGATGAAGACAGATCAAGAGCATACACGCACGAGACGATAAATAGTTCTACATTTCACGGATTTGGTGGTAGAATTGTACTTTTGAAAAGCTGCCCATTAGAGAAAAAGTCCAAGGGAGTTATTGGAAATATACCAACTGCGGTAAATGACTGTATGAATCGGGATCTAAGTTTAAGTAATGCTAATGGAAATTGCTTTTATGCGACATATAAAATTTGAGGAGTGAAAGCGTGCGAATCCCATACTTTAAAGTAAAGGAGTTGCAAATTTCACAACTTTTGGTGCATGACGGGACGGAAAATAGCAAGAGAAACACCACTCTTTAGTCTAACGCCTGAATAAAGCCTTAACTCCAACAAAAATAAAAAAAAAAAAAAAAAACCTTAAAAACTATAAAGAAAATTAAGAGATTGAAAGAGCTCTCAAATTTTATTTATTATTTATTTTTTGTGTGTTTTTGAAATGAGAGAAAACACATTTTATACTATCAGGACAAAACAAAAATTTAATATCCATTCACTCTAGTCATCACTCTTTTCATTTCTAATTCTTAAAACTTCCTCCATTAATCCACTAACCTTTCACCTTTTAAATTTCAACTCACACCACCGCTTTCATTCATATTTATTTCATTAATTTATAAAATATTAAAATAAGAACTGTATATTTGAAAAAGGTGTTCATTACAAAAAAAAAAATTCCAAACACATAGATAACTAGAAGTGTTGTATTCTGATAACCAACAAAAAAGTACTTGCTATTAAAAAATGCACACACAAGGCTAGGTTATATTTCTGAAACTAGCTAGTGCTCACTACAAAAAAATGCCCAAACCAGTGGATGCCACACAAAAAAAGGCTAAACACACTGGATTTTATATATAAAAAACCCTTACAAATTGATATTTTATTCAAAACAAAAAATAGTTTCAAATTTCTAATACAATATATAATATCTTAAAATGACAACGTTATATAATTATACTATAAGATAATATATCACATCCTTTATAAAAATCTTTCATTTGTTAATATTATAAACCATAAGATATTCTAGACTTCTTTTAAAAAAGCTTTTTAAGCAAAAAAATCTTGAATACAAATCTTCCATCATCTCCCCCACAAACCTTCTAGGACGAATTCTTTGATTCTAACAGAAACTCAACCAATGCAAACAAACAGCTGTTCATGGAATGCCCGTCCTTTAGTTTAGTGTGAGTTTTTTTGCTCATATACGTTTAAAAGTTGGGGTTTAATGTGATACTGCCCCTACATAATATAGGCTTGTATATAATATTTAGGTATAGCTTGGATGGTTAGAATGAATAGAGAGATAGTGTGGATAGGTGCATCATGACTTAGATTCGATCCCCTATCTGAACATTAGATTTAAGTGGATCGCTCGTGACAATAGTTGTGCTGCATCAGTCATCAGTCTCCCCTAAGGATTTAAGTGAGAGGTCGTTGTTGCGTTAGCTTCCCCTAAGTATTTGAGTGGGAGGCCGTGACTGGATGTACACTACGTCATTGGATTTAACTTGGGGCCTATAGATAATAAATCTAATTTATGGAAATATTTTGGTAATAATTCCTTTATTTAAAACCAATATAAATAGCCTCACCCTTTCAAACTTAATGAAAAACTTTGCAAAAATAATGAAAATTTTTCACCTCCCTAAAAATATTAAGTTTAAAAAAGTTAATAATTAATTACAGTATGATGTTGTAATAAATTTAAATTTCAGAAAATATTTACCAAACACTATATCCTATTTAATTCCAATACATACACCTAATTAGCACATCCTCATTAATTGGACCGTCCAACACTTCATCATAAAAAAAAAAAAACCAGCTAAAAGTAAAAAACACTCAAAAAAATTGTGTCCTCGAAACTTCTTTACAGACTTCTCTGTAACCTCACCGCCACCGCCGCCGCGTGGCCGCCACCTCTTCAGGAGGTTTTACAACTCTTGCTTTTCTACACTCCACGTCATGTTATTTGCGCTTTTGCCAACGCAATCTTCTCTAAACTAAACTAACTAAACCTCTCATAACCCTCTTTCGTTTAGGGTTTTTCTTCTCTTCTGTCTCTTAAACGTTAGGTTTTTTACGCGTTTGCCACCGAACAATCCCGCTTTGTTCACTCTATTTTTTTTTTTTTGATTGGTCTAATTTTTTTTCATAGAATCTTTTGATTTATTTATTATTCATAATTTACTGGTTTCAGTTGCTTCAGCTTCATAATTTAAACCAACTTATGATTGTTTTTTTTTTTTTTTTTTTTTTTTTTTTTTGTAGTTTTTTAAATTTTTTTCTTCACTTTTGCAGTTATTTGATCTTCAACTTCTTTATCCAATCAACTTTTGACCCATAAAATTTCATAATCAATCTCTTTGTTAATCTATTATTTTTCAATTCCTATTTGTTACAGTTGTAGATGGCTAAAGCTTCAGTACATGCAATACAGCGTAAAAGCGTAAGAATTGTTGTTTGTGGAGGAAAGGGTACCGGAAAATCGAGCTTGATTGTAACTGCCGCTACCGATTGTTTCCTGCCAAGTGCGCTGCGGTTTTGCCGCCTACACGGCTGCCTGAGGAATTCTACCCCGACCGCGTGCCATAACCTTACGACACCCTTCAAGGTCTCTCTTTTTTATACGGGTCAAGATTTGAACTTGTTTGTGCCAGTGTTATGATAATATTGAGCTTGAATTGGAATGTTTCTAATTGTTCCTGCGTGTGGGGTTTATAAAATTGTACGGAGGATAGAGGTAGGATGAGTGAAGAACTGAGGCGGGCTGATGCAGTTGTGCTACTTAGCGTGTGAGGTCGGCCTGAGACCCTTGAAGAATAAGTGAACTTTGGTTCCAGAATTCGTCAATTAGAGGTTTGAATTTTTGTTTCCTTAAATTTGCTGTAGCATGCTTCTGGTTTGTTGCTTGCTTTGCTGAAAATGTGACCTGGGGTACTTTAATTCTTCAGCCAATAGACAATAGACTTTGAATAACTTATGAAAAGAGTCATTTGATTTGCAGTGCACCGAATAAAAATTTTGGGAGCCTACTGCTGACTGTAATCTCCTTAAATTTCAGGTTTACCAAAGTGTCACAATTTCTAATCTAATTGCTAAAAAAGGCATTTTATAAGCTAAAAAGCTGAGAAGAAGTTACTTAGAAATTTGTTGAAGCTATGTTAAACTAATTTTCTTTTTAGTTCCGGGTTTTGGACTGGGATGTTAACTTAAAATAGGAAGAAGCTTCTAATATTTATAATTATTGGTCAACTTAGACTTTCTGAACCCTTGAGTGATATAGATAAATGGTTGTGGATTTGTGTCTTATTATAAGTTAAAAAATTTAAGTTTCAAGGTCCTGACCTGTGGTAAATAGAGTATGATTTAGTTTTCGGGGAATTATTTTATATTTGGCATTTGTATGTGTTGTTTTAATGGGTATGTAATCTCATGATCAGGTGAAAGTGCCAGTTATAGTGGTGGGTTGTAAGCTTGATTTTAGAGATGAGAGCCATCAAGTGAGCCTGGAAACGGTAATGATGCTATAATGCAACAGTTTCGAGAGATTGAAACTTGCATTGAGTGTTCTGCATTGAAGCAAATTCAGGTATGTTGCAAGGCCCTCATTTGATCTTTATTTTATGTTGTTCATAGGATTTAATGTAGTGATATTTTACAATTACTGGGGTACCTGATATAATGTGTTTTGTTCTGGTTCTAGTGATCTGTTTGTATTGTTGAATACATGTGGGATTTTTTAAGCACTGTTAAATATTCCTGTACAACTCAATATGTACTTTATGGCCTTTGAGTTTCACCTTTGCCATTAATTTGTCATGAGCTTACATAGATGCACCTTCTTGCATCATTGATCTAGTTGAAGTGCTGGCTACAAGGATATGTTATTACCCTAATGAATTCTGTAGTCAGTTGGATGATCTGTGATTTTAAACTGCCATTTGTTTTAGAATTGATATATAAATATTCTGAAATTGATGTTTAAATTTGACAATTTATAGATCCCTGAGGTTTTCTACTATGCGCAAAAAGCAGTGCTTCATCCAACAGGCCCTCTATTGATCAGGAAACACCAGCTTTGAAGCCCCGGTGTGTGAGAGCCTTGAAGCGTATTTTATTCTTTTGGATCATGACAGGGATGGTTCTTTAGTGATGCAGAGCTGAATGATTTTCAGGTGGATTCTTCTTCCGTCTTTCCTTGTTTTAGGGAAGGGAGGTTTTAATTAGTTGTGTAATGTTTCTGTGATTGAATTCGTACAATGTTAATACAAGTTCTTGTGAAGTTGTAACATCTTGTGTTTGAGGTTTTGAAGGTCCTAATAATTGTTTGTAACAGGTCAAATGTTTCAATTCTCCATTACAACCTTTGAAATAGTAGGTGTTAAGAGGGTTGTGCAAGAAAAATTGCGAGAGGAGTCAATGATCGTGGTCTTACACGGCGGGGTTCTTTCCTTCATGCACTATTTATTGAAAAAGGACGCCTTGAGACAACATGTGGGTCCTTAGGAAATTGGATAAATAATGTATTAAACTTGCGGATGAATGATTCCACATTCATCATTCAAACGAGCACCTGAACAGGTAACAGCTTTTTAAGTGCATAATGATTGCTACCACTCTAGTTCAACACAAGTGATCTTACCTGTTGTTATTTTATGTATTTTTGTATATTTTTCCTAGTTTGAATGGAAACTGTATAAGTTATAAAGAGGCTTTATAAACATTTATAGAAGAATTTCCAGATTGAAACATGTGATTTTACTGCTTTGAAGTCTAGGTTCATGACATGCTAGACTGAATTCATTGACAATATCTTTAGAATACTGGAGTTCTTTGGTTGCTAGTTAAGAAGTATTTAGAAGAATTCAAATAAATTTATAATATTATGATGCAAAAGCAATTGTGCTGGATTGGGATACAAACTGTTGTACTTTGCTTCTGGAAGTGGACCAAGAACTTAGGCTAGTTTGTGCACTTCTCCCTTCTGTTGGTGGAAATTTGCTAGCTGGCTTTTATGGTCCTTTGCATGCAGTGGTATATCAGCCCTGATTGCCGTGGTCCTTGGACTCTTGAGAAAAGCTCTCTAGTTTAAACCTTATTTTAATGTGAATTTTTATGGGGAAGGAAAAAGATGGACTTGTAGATACTTGCTCCTCTCTCTAGGTGCATTTCTTCCAATTCTAGAACCATAATTCTTCGCTTCGACTCTCTTTTTTCAGCCAAGGAGGTTCTTCTTTGAGATGAATTTCATCCTTTCACCCTTTTCAAGTGTCCTATTACTATTGGGTGGGATGGATCTGAGCAGCATCTCAACTAGTAAACAACTTATTAGGAACTCAATACGGCCGATCAAAAGTGTTTCAAAATCATTGAAAATATTAAGTGTAACAAGGGTCCAAACTTGGTCTACAAGTTACAAGACTGAAACCAAAGTTTGCAGAATATAACACTTTGAAATTTGAAATCTGGTTGGGTGTTGCTGAGCATAGATTCTAAATAGTTGAAGTCTAGCGTTGTTTTTCTAATTTTGTTATGTTCATGGGGTTTTAGGTTGTCTCTTATTACCTTTTGGTGAGACATTCTACCTAATCTAGTGTTTCAGTTGAAATGTTTAATTCTTTGTCTGTCTGTGGTATGTCATTGTGTATTTTAATGTTTGCCTCCATGTTTGTTTGCGGCTTGCAGTGTTAATTAGATGCTTACTTTTAGTTTTTGCTTTTGTGTAGAGCGTGGAGCTGACTAATGAAGCTGTTGACTTTTTGAAGGGAATCTTCGAACTTTTTGACTCTGATAGTGTATGTCCTGGCCTGTGTCTTGGTGCATACTTGACGTTTAACTTTGCTGCTAATGAAGTTTCGAGTTTATTTTGCACAATTAATGCTTTCATTATGATATGGTTAGAGATTAACTGTTTGCCAAGTAGTTCACTAGCTTACAAGATCCTAACAATAAGTGTTTGATACCAGGACAATACCCTGCGGCCAACTGAAGTTGATGATCTGTTCTCTACAGCACCTGAATGGTATTATAATGATCATTTTTTACTAATTTCAATAACTTATCTACTTATATTAGGAAACCATGTGATTGTCTGTTGGATCAACAAGTCACTCAAATTCTTCTGTTGTTAATTTGATTTGATGAATATTAAGGAATAGCTGTTGAAAAATACTTCTTCAGATGATGATTTAGCATTATTACTTAATACAACATGGTTATCTGGGGAGAAATAGGGATTGCCACATAATATTCTTGCTAGATTGAATGTCTTCTAGGATAAGCTGCCACTTTCGAACTGTTCCTACATAACATTTGACTTATTTCTTTGAGAACACGTTTGTGGTTTGATGAAGGAGAAAAGGCCAAAGTCGTATGGTATGGTGCTGTTTTACCTACTTTATAGGTGATTTGGCAAGAAAGAAACAAAAAGATTTTTGAAGATAGATGTGAGGAAGATATCTTTATTTTGTGTACAGAGCCTGTTTGCTTGCTTTTCTTTGGCTTTGGTGTTTAAAAGCTTGTCAGGATACTTCTCTTTTCCTTACTCACTTAATTTAAAAGGGGTCTTTAGTTAATGTTGTGCTATTGATTTAGATTTTTGAGTTACCCATAGCGTGTTCAAGGAGCTGTTCATTATATACCGTATAGATATTTTTGTAATCCTTAAATGAGTCCTACTTTTTGTGAATCACTTGTTTACTTGTGTAGCAATTGTGATTATTGATATCCTTTAAGTTACTTAACAAAAAAAATGTACATCTATATATAGATAAATGTTTGACTCATTTTTCATTAACTTCAGTCCTTGGGATGAAGCACCATATAAGGATGCTGCAGAGATAACTGCGCTGGGAGGACTATCACTCGATGGGTTTTTGTCACAGGTATTTGTTTGAAGAATTGATAAATCAGCGGGTAAAACAACATCCACGTTAAGTCTATCTTTAGTTTAGAGGTTCTTGTGTTCAGTATATTGGTTTAACATAAACTTTCACTATCAAATAGCACTGTAAACTGCTAGAACTTGTTCATCCTCCAGCAACCTGTGATTCCTAATTTATGATGAATATTTGTGTTGCAGTGGGCATTTATGACACTTTTAGACCCAGCTTCTACTGTGGAAAATCTGATATACATTGGATATCCTGGTGATCCTTCTTCTGCTGTCCGTGTGACAAGGAGAAGACGTATAGATCGTAAAAAACAACAATCAGAAAGAAATGTTTTCCAGTGTTTTGTTTTTGGGCCAAAGAATGCTGGAAAGTCTGCATTATTAAATTCCTTTTTGGGAAGGTATATCACCTGAATCCTTAGCTACAATTTCAATTACATGTTATTCTTTGGGCTGGTTTGGACTTGTTAATTTTGAATCTAAACTTGACATGCTGAATGCAGACCCTTCAATGATAATCGTCTGACAACTGATGAGCAGTATGCTGTGCATTTTGTTAATCAACCTGGGGTAAGTGGATAGAGTATGGGGCTTCTCCCTCTCTCTCAAAACACATATTTGCACAAAAATTTTACACGTCTTGGAGGTTGAAACATGCAAAATTTGTTGTTGGATGGTTGGGAGTGGATAGATAAATGTTATTTTATAGTGTGTATGATGGGCCTCTGGTTTCCATATTTACGAGAGTTGAAAGAAAACTCATGTAAGCACTTATTGAATGCTGTGGTTCATTCATTTTTTGATTTTACTATTTGTCATTGCATGCCTTTCAAATTGTATATTTCTTTTTGACGTCATCTTTTGTTTTACTTAGCTTATGAAGTTGGTCTTTTGCTGTATATTATAAATAAACGGTTCAGATTCTTCTCCCAATGAGTTTATCAATACTAAAGAAAATGCATCCCAAATTTTATGTCAAATTGTGAATTTATTTACTCTTTTAAAATATGTCGTCATAGTATGCATGGCTGCGACGTGCTTCTAGCTTTTAAGTGGGATAACATAATTGCCATCAGCTTTTGGTTCTTCAAATATTAGATTGATAAGTATAATCTTTAAGAGTTGACTTTCTTCTCTTGTTTCTATCTTTTAATTTGGGTAAAGTTAAAAAAAAAAAAGTAGTGTTTAGAAGATCTTGTTTCTTTTTTAAAAGGATTACCTAGATCTTTTTGTACTTCCTAGTTTTAACAGTATGCTATTTTTTTTCTCTTAAATGTTATCTGAGTTTCTGTTTATGTTCTTAAATGTGTGGATGGTTTGATTCTTTGACTAACTGTATTTTGCTTGTCTCTGCAGGGAACTAGAAAAATCCTTGTCTTGCGAGAAATTCCTGAGGATGGAGTTGGAAAACTACTCTCTAATAAAGATTCTTTGGCTGCCTGTGATGTAGCAGTTTTTGTTCACGACAGGTAGACTGAAGGCTAGAATGAGTAATGCTTCTAGTCATTCTAATGAACTGTGATGTTAAAATCTTTTGAAATCATATGGTTTGGCCATTTCTAATCAAGGATTTAAATACAGAATCATGGTTAGCTTCACAAAACCATTTTAACTTTATGGGTGAGAATGCAAAAAGAGGTTCTTTTTGTCTGTGTGACTCTTTGATATGCATCTTCTGCCAGCTATCACTCTTGGAGTGGTAAGTTTTGTTGTTACATATTTTAAGTTCATTTGTTACTCCATTTGCTTCTGCAGTTCTGATGAGTCCTCATGGAAAAAAGCAACTGAGTTACTTGTAGATGTTGCCACTCATGGTGAGGATACTGGCTATGAGGTGCCTTGCCTCATTGTTGCCGCTAAAGATGATCTGGATTCATTTCCAACCGCAATACAAGATTCTACCAGGGTATGTACTTTCTTTGATAATTTTTTTCGTTTTTAAAGTATTCTAAACAGTGATAGCAATAGTGAGTATTTTCTGTTCTTCGGTTAGGAAATCATCATCATCATGCTCTTGATTTGAAAGGTCTTTGCTTAATTAAGTACTTTATCTTGGTGTTTCTTGTGGTTAATTTCTTTTTCTGTGTTAAGATCAATTTTCTGGCTGATATGTTTCTTGGCTGAGCAAAGATGTCCTGACTGTAGAAGTCAATGCCTATCAAGACATTTTATTTGGTCATTCTTGGTTACTAAGTAGACCAAGACAGTTTTATTGTTGCAATCTTGAGCAATGCTAGAATTTAGATTGTTTTGTGCTCATGTATGTGGGTAAAATGCAGTATTATATGCTGTTTCACCTTTTTCCTTTTAAATCCATTTCTGTTTTTAAGCTGGGTTGAAAATTAACTAACTTTGTCGGAATATTGCTATTGTAGGTTAGTCAGGATATGGGAATAGAAGCTCCTATTCCAATTAGCTCAAAGTTGGGTGATTTCAATAATATATTCCGGAGGATTGTAGTTGCAGCAGAGCATCCGCACTTGAGCATTCCAGAAACTGAAGCTGGGAGAACCCGGAAGCAATATCATCGACTCATTAATCGCTCGCTTATGTTTGTTTCAGGTTTGTTGATTGTCTGGGTCTAAGCTTTATTTTTACCTGCTAAAATAATAAAAAGCAAATTCATAAATCTTTCTTCTACTTGTTAACTGGGTACCATGTTATTGCTTGTGTTTCACCGTTGCAGTTGGAGCTGCGGTGGCCATTGTTGGACTGGCAGCTTACCGTGTCTATGCAGCGAGGAAAAACACCTCTGGTTGAAGGATAAACGAACGAATATTCGCTATTCACTGGCCGAATCTTCTTTTTGATAACTTTCTCAGGTTCATTGAAATGGCTCATCTGATTTAAGTTCAAATGCAATGTCATTAATTTATCCTTTGTATCCTTGAAGTATTTTATTTAGGTGAGCTAGTTTGGATGGAAGAGTTCTAGTAGTAGAAATATCAAATGATGTACAATTGAACAAGTTATTGTGCAGGGCGTGTGCAATAAAAGAAATTTTGCTACAGATTGTTCCTAAATTGCCTTTTTGATGATCACTCACTCTATTGAGAGTTGTTCATTTAAATTTCGAATTGTTGGTTTGGACTTGTGATTTTCACAAAACTCTTCACCAGGTGAATGGTTCTGAGTTCTGCTATAATCTCTTAAAAGTTTATCTCATGCTACAGTCCAAATTAAATTTAAAGCAGTGTTTTAAAACCTTGCCGGACCAGTTGAACCAAGACTTGGGGTTCTCACTAGGCCCAATTATAAATTTTCCTATTCACCTAAACCTCTAAAAATTGGGATGATGATTGACGAAAAATTGAAAGTTGTGATGCTGAGGTTTTTAAAGAGGAATGGTTGGTGAGTGCAATAGTGGCGACATAGTTGATTTCTGGTGAGTGAATCAATTGGAAATCGAAAAAAATCAATAACTGCAATAGTCGGATTTTGTCGGCGATTGGTGAGGCGAACAGGGGTGTCGTGAGATGGGTTTTGGTCAAGAGGTTGAAGGGGGTACTTTCGTGGGGTTGCAGAGGGTTATTGACACCGACGTTGGTGAGATTTGGCTTGGGTTTTCTTGGGAATGAGGCTCAAGGGATGGTTGGGATTACGTTTAGTGTGTTGTCACTGCTAACAAGTCGACCTTCGATTTGTATTTGAGGTGTGTTTGTTAAATTTCAAACCTATAAGGACTTAACAAAAATTTTAAGGGTGTATTTGTCAAATTTTAACATAATTTTTAAGGGTGTATTTGCCAAATTTTAAACTTTTTGACACTTGGTTTGACTGGCCGGTTAAACCGGTCAACTCGGGACCCAAGAACTTTGCTGGGTTGGTTATTGAAACACTGATTTCAAGTACCAGAGCAAGCCTATATGTGCAAGAAGCTAGATCACAAACATCCTTTGCATAGGGGATTTATATTGTGATATGTTGGAAATCAATTACACAAAAATTAACTGAATCTAACACAGTGCAGTGTCTTTAGACTGCAGCTTCAAAATCCATATTGTTGATTAACTATGGAGTTCCTTCGCTTTTTCACTGAGAAGGGTTTCTGCTTTTCTCTTCTTAGATTGGCCTGCTATCCTCTTGACAAGGGAAATGTATCCATCAACATCAAATTTCCTCTTGCACCCTGCATAGTTCATATAACGTACTTTCCCAAAGATAGGTCGCTCTTTCCACCCCTGAAATTAAGAATGTCCATGGAAAATTTTCAAATTGATTCCACCAGATAACAAACAAAACAAGAAGTGATAAAACTCAAACCTGATCATGAACACCACATATTGACCACATGCAACCAACATATCCATTTGGATCCCTCCCATCTATTTCATACTGCATTCCAAGCTTACAGGACTCAGGTTAACAACCTGGATAATAATTGTTAAAATAAAAACCGACCATGAAATCGTAACTCAACTACCTTGTCATTTAGATATATTGATATTGCAAGGGCTTCTTCAGGTCCTCTTGTCCACTCAAGAATCTTTTTTGCCCAATACATCCTGCACAATGTAGAGGGAATGAAGTGTGGTTCCTATTTATCACACAAAAGTAACAGAACTACCATTTGTAGATCAACTATTAACTGGGTCAAGCGTATATCAGGCATATCTTCAATGAGAACACCAAAATGAAGTGCAGTTCAACATATGAATTGATATCCATGGTTATATAAGAGATGAAAATTTGATAAAAAGAACAGAAATCCTATAATAAGGCTAAGCAACATGATACAGCCAACAAAGGTAAGATCAAGAATTAAAACTACTTTGTTATGGTAAAAAGTACTGGAAGTAAGGTATTCTGTGGCCTATTTTTTCACCAGAATTATAAATCTAAGTTAGCATGGGTTGCTCAACTTACATTCTAGCACAAGAGCAAAAATCACAGGAAGAAAAACTTGAGTTGTTGACATTTCAAGATACAAAGATTTAAGTATAAAAGAAAATGGAAATATAGCACAACATGCATCAAAGAGAAGTATATAAAGCAACAATTAAGTTACTTACCGCATGAAACCATGCATCTTCCCATGGTAAACCATCTCCAACTGAGAAGCATTCCAAAGCTGAAAGTCTCAACACAATAGTTGGTAGATTATCAGCACAATGCAGCGGAAAACCCCAAAGAATATAACATAATAATAATAACACTAGTACATTATCTTCATAAAACCAAAAGAATATTGTTGCAGGAGAAATGCTCAAATATGAAAAATTTTGGAGCATTGTACAAGATGATGGATCGAGATCTACAAATTATAACTTACAGGATCAGCAGTCTGTGCCTTCTCAAATTGCTCTTTTCTGCAAAATCAATTTTCATTTGAAACTTTAATGACCTCAGCCAGTGAACAAAACTTAGCTGCCTGTGATAAGGGAGCCTTTTAATCTATAGTAACCAAATGAACGAACACAACTCTACTCACGTGTAAATAAGCTCTCGTTTATCAGAGGCATGGTCCTTCAAGGTCTTACGAGCCCATTCCCACGCCCCCTTCAATGAATCATAATGAGGCTGGTAGAAGCAAAAGTTATCGGCAAGTTCTCTACACACAATCAACTCCTCCAAAAATGCATCAATTGCCTTTAGAGTAGCAGGTAGATACAGAAGCTATACATCAGATACAATAAATTATTAACAAAAAGCAAGAGATACAATAATCCAATGATAGCAAACTGGAGCTCATTGTGGGTATCACGCATAAATTCAACAAATATATTCAAGACTAAACTAATCGGGCTTCCCGTTTCACGCAAATACATAAAATAGACACAATGAAATCCAAAAATTTAGATACCACGAACCTCAGGACAAAGTTTCCTTGCACAACGTGCCTCCAAGCACATCTCTGTGCAGATATCTGCCCGAAATGAAATATGGAGAGAGACATGAAAGTGCTCTGGGTTTCAGGGTTATTCTATCTTTAGGATAGCCCTTCAACCTTTGTCAAAACCCATCATTACTTCCCTTCAATACTTCCATTGCTGCATCTTCTCCAGGTTGACACCAGTCAATTTCAGGAACTTCAGCCCCTTTCCTATTGAAAACACAAAAAAAAAAAAAAAAAAAAAAAAAAAAAAAAAAAAAAAAATTAGATGCCCAAGAAATCTCACCTCATCTCACTCGAATCAAATAATATCTACCTTAAAACATCAGCAATAACGCTATCCCAATCAATCGACCGTCTAGTAGCAGCCCATTTTCTATGTGGAGATTGCAACACAGTAAATCAATGAGGTACTCCAGAAAGCAATTTATTGATCTTCCCACGTAAGGTCTTTGCACTGTACTCCAACTTCTCAGATGCTACCCAAACAGGTACTACATTATGTGCATCAACTTCATGTATAGCTACTGAATCACTCACCCTCTTGCATATTTTATCTTTACATCTCCGAATTTCCCTTAAAGGTGTAAAATCGGTTACTAACAATGAAGCCCCGCATTCTTTCACAAAATTGGGTATGGCCTCTTCAGCTTCTCCCTATAAATTTTAATCCCAAAATTCATTAATTTTCAATATTCTAAATTACACTACTTGAGATTTCATATTCTAATAATTCTTGAAGTCTAAAAAGACAAACCTGAAACAAGAAAAATGGAATTTGAAAAGTTTCTTCAATACTTGTCTGCAGATGACGCAAACCTTTTAACATGAACCCTAGTTGCCTGGCTTTAGCACCCAAGAACTGATCAAAAAGATTAAAAGCCACAGCCACAGGTACGTTATTCTTGTTGGCTTGATCAACGGCGTGAATCAAAGCCCAGTTGTCTCTCAGCCGTTGATCTCTGAACATCCAGTAAACAACCGGACCAGCATGTTGATCTAACGCTGGTGGTGAACCTTGTTTTAGAACCCGAATGCGGCCCGGATGGACAGAGGTCGATTGCGGAGATAGAGATGCCATGGACGTGCGGAGGCTTCTGCTAATATGGGCCAGGTGTGGAGGTTAAGAGGGAAAACCGAAGAGGAGGGATTAGGAAAATGAAGAGAGGAATTGGAGGGAATGGAAGCAGTTAAAGTTGTGGTTTTGAAATTGCGTACGTAGATAACTTCAACTTTGAACACGTAGGCTTTAGAAGTTAACAACAATGTAGTCCTTAAGGTTTGAAAAAAGTAAATTTAATCCCCAGGTTCTCAAAAGTATCACTTTTGATCCAAATGTTTCAACTTAGGGTCATGGCAAAACGAAACTGAGTTACTTGTAGATGTTGCCGATCATGGTGAGGATACTGGCCTCATTGTTGCCGATCATGGTGAGGATACTGGCCTCATTGTTGCCGCTAAAGATGATTATCTGGATTCATTTTCTACCAGGGTATTTACTTTCTTCGATAAGTATATTGAATGATTACAGCAATATATAGTGTTTTCTCTTCTTGGGTTAGGAACTTAGGATACTGAAATCATCATAATCATGCTCTTGATCTGAAGGGTCTTTGCTTAATTAAGTACTTCATCTTGGGGTTTCTTGTGGCTAATGTCTTTTCTTTTTCTGTGTTGAGATCAATTTTGCTGGCTGAGCAAAGATGTCTAGACCGTACAATATTGACTATGAAGTCTTACTTTTTATTTCGTCATTCTTTGTTACGAAGTAAACGTAGGCAGTTTTATTGTTGCAATCTTGAACAATGCTAGAATTTTGGTTGTTTGTGCTCATGTTTGTGGGTAAAATGCAGCATTGTATGCTATTTCACCTTTTTCCTTTTAAATCCATTTCTGTTTTTAAGCTGGGTTGAAAATACAGTAACTTTGTTGGAATATATGCTATTGTTACATTGTAGGTTAGCCAGGATATGGGAATAGAGGGCTTCTATTCCAATCAGCTCACAGTGGGTGATTTCAATAATATATTCCGGAGGATTGTAGTTGCAGCAGAGCAATCGCACTTGAGTATTCCAGAAACTGAAGCTGGGAAAACCCGGAAGCAATATCATCCACTCATTAATCGCTCTCTTATGTTTGTTTCAGGTCTGTTGATTGTCTCGGTCTAAGCATTACTTTCACCCTTTAAAATAATAAAAGCAAATTTATAAAACTTTCATCCATGTGTTAACCGTATACCAGGTTATTGCTTGTGTTTCACCGTTACAGTTGGAGATGCGGTTGCCATTGTTGTATTGGCAGGTTACCGTTCTATGCATCAAGGAAAAACACCTTTGATTGAAGGATAAACCAACAAATATTCACTATTCACTGGCCGAATCCTCTTTGGATACATACAGCTGATCCTGTGGAGCTCTCATTTGCTTTCAGATAACTTTCTCAGGTTAATTGAAATGGTTTATCTGATTTAATTTCCAATGCACTGTCATTAATTTACCCTTTTTATGCTTGAAGTATTTTATTTAGGTGAGCTAGTTTGGATGGAAGAGTTCGAGTAGTAGAATATTTAATGATGTACAATTGAACAAGTTATTGTGCAGGGCATGCGCAGTAAAATTTTTTTGCTACAGATTGTTCCTAAATTGCCTTTTTATGATCATTCACTATATTGAGAGAGTTGTTAATTTTAATTCGAATTGTTGGTTTGGACTTGAAATTTTCACAGAATTTCCTCCCTGAACTAGCATCAGTCCAATACATTCAAAAAAATTTCCCCTTTCTTGCATCGACTGTTACTAAGAGTTTATTTAAGGGTTTTTTCTTTTATAATCTAGAAATACTACGAACTCACTTTGAGAACCTGAGCTCAATACTGGATTCCCTGGTGAACCTACAATCTACCTATGTAAATCAGGAGCATCAGTTTGTATGTTGAGAACATTTCTGGATGTAGTGAAATGTCCATCTGATGGTTTAGCATTAAACCTGAAACTTAAATATGAAACCATAATCCTGAAATTGTAACATGAGTGGGCAATTTTCTTCCATATATAGTTTATTGTTCTACATTATTTCAGACATTTTTCCTGTCCTGGAATCTGGTTTTGTGATATATTGACTCCCCTAAGCTTGAATATGAAGAAAACTTATAGAGAAGGCTGCTGCTTCTGTTATATTGCTCTGCAGCTTAGCTCTCATCTTTGTATGGCCATCCTTTTTTCAATTGGTTTGACGGCATGATCTCGTATTTCTCCAGCTCCTTTCTTCAGGTTTAGACAGTACTTCCTGAAGACCTCTGTTGTCACATAAAGCCTAAAGTCCAGAGTAAACAAGAACTTCATCTCCAGTCTGTTCATTTCTGCAGTGCTCACCCCTCCCACTTTGGCGAATTAAGCTTTGTTATGACTCCTGCAGAATAAAAGATCTATCCATTCAATCAAAATTCGACAGATGAAAACATATTGGTTTTCTAGAGATATATATCTGTAAGACCTTACTCATCATCGTAAAATTTTGCAGCAACCATGATACTGGTAATCAGAAGGCGATGCACGTTGAGGCTTGTAAGGTAAGCATTGAGTTTTTGAAGGAATTGATCGATGTATATGTATGCAATAACAAAGCAAGAAGGGGTGCAGTTTGAGTACTTAAAGATGCGTTCCATATATTGTCTGACGCTTAAGCTGGGAACTCTTGAACCGTGAAATATGGTAACAACATCCTTCTTGTTCGATGCCTTCAGTAGGTTCTCATTCTTCTGAATCGCTCTCTCAAGAACAGATGAAACAATTGATACAACGTGGGGAGTTCCGGAACAACTTATTCCTTTCCCTGAATCAACCAATCCTAAAGCTGAATAAGTTTCCGATTCATCAGCCTTGCCATTGAGTGCCATTGATCTCATCAAATGTTTATGCAGAAACTAATATGAGAAAATTATCAGATTCTTACTGGGAATTGGAGCTCTAAGCTGACTTCCTTTGTTAGAGAAATTGAAACAAGAGCATGGTTATTCTGGTTTAGGCTTATTTCTAAGAAATGTCGGAGACAAAATTATATCAACTTTACTGATTTTTATTTTTTATTTTTTTATTCTTTTCTTGCAGGTAAAGTTACATTGGAACATACCAATATACTTATGTAACCTTGGAAATTAAAGAACTCAATTCGTAGTGGCCCAATTTGGCACAAAATTATAAATTATTCACCCTGAAAAGAAAGGTTACAAGAGACAAAGAGCACTATATAAAATAGTATATTCTAAAAGTATATGGAAATGTGGTGCAACACAAGAAAGATATAATTTTGATTTTGATATAGAAAGATGCCATTACTATTGGAGTCTAAACGAGAATCACCAAACTTTTATCACATCACACGTTTATAGCAAGTAACTTGTCTAAATGTTTCAAGTAAAACACTCTCTTAGAGCTCAAAATAAATACGTTCAAGTTAAATCCAAAATTGACAATATTTATTCTGTTGAATATTTGGGTTATTACTAGTTTGGGTGGTGTAATTAAATATTATTTATGGGTTAGACTTGTATATGGTCCATACATATCTTTTCATGCCAAATTGTGAAAGATAAGGAATTCCTTTACACTAGGAATCAACAAAACATAATCATAATTAGTTGTTGAAAAAAAAGGAGAGGAAGAGAATTTATTTGTAATTTGAGAATGGTTTATTTAAACTATATCCCAATATAGTAGTGGAATATGTAATGGTGGCCACATTCTCTTCACACTAGTTGCTACATTGTTGGACTAGAAAGTGACTGGTTCTATTTGTGGGTATGATGCTAAGTACCATTGTACCAAGTATGATAGATTATAAATAATGAAATTCTCTTAGGGGCATTTGGTTGGGGGTAATGTGAAATTATTGGGGTTATGTCATCTTATATTACTTGACAAATATTACTTGATTACCACGTTTGGTTGTCAAGTAATATAAGATTCCGGTAATCTTCAAATACTAATAGTAGTTACTGATAGTAGATTACCTTAATTTTCTTAGGTATTGTAAGATTACTGGGGTAATCTTTTTTTTTGTTACAATTCTATCCCTTATTAATAAAATTTTAGGACAATAATGCTCTTATTTTTAAATTTATTTACATAAATGTTGCTTTTACTATTTCACCCAAATTAATTAATTTTTTAGACAAAATTACCCTTGAATTCAAAAGAAATTGCAACCCACCACCCCCACCCACCCACCGCTGGCAACCACCATCGCGGCTGCAGCCAAAACGATGCACAGAAGACGGAAAATGGCCGATGTGTGACTATATGGCCATTTCCGGCCATATATCTGGCTAAAAATGACTAGATCTGTCACATCTGGCCATTTCTAGCTAGATCTCTGGCCGTAAATGGCCATACCGCGCACGGAGGCAATTTCTTGTCTTCCAGGCGGCCTGCGGCTGACAGTGGCTGGGTTGGTGGGGGTGCTTTGTTGATTTTCCAAACTTTTATTATGAGATTGTTTTTGCTAAGTTTTTAAATGCAAGGGGGTTATAATAATCCAAATAATAATCAATATTAAAAAATAATATAATAATAATATTTAATTAGAGGACAATTCAGTAATTTAAATAACATACCCACCAATTTATTCCTCCCAACCAAACATATTAATATAATATACCCACCAATTAACCAAACACATTTTCCTAAAGATTTCTAGTAATCTTCAAGATAATCTAACTTTTTAGTGATCCAACATTTCCTGAAACAAACGCCTCTTTAAGGTATGATCTAATAACAAAATTCTTATGAAGTTTCTGAAATAACAAAAATTCTTCATCGTTAAATAATTGACCGTAAACTGTTAAAATTTATATTCTTGTAAGTTTAAAAATATTATTAAATTACTTTCTTATCATTTATTTTAACATTTAAAACTTCATGGTAAAAGAATTTCTATTATTTTCGAAACCTCAAAGAGATTTTGATATTTTATCATTCATTTTAGGCCATTAGTTTTATTTAATAACGACCATAGTAAATCCTCTTAGTTTATTTTCGATACTTTCATAATATAGGGTTTTTGATGATTTTCAAGAATCCTGGGTATACTTAAAAGAGTAAACGTTTTCCCTCTCAAGGTTTGCCTTAATGACACTTTCCCACCTAAAAAATTTCAAAATACCACTTTACTATCCAAAAATATCATTATAAAGAAGGGCAGGATGGTCAAAAATCTATTATATGTAAGGACATGATGATCAATTAATAACCTACTCTACAAAACGCCACCAACCACTGCCACCTAAATCAGTTCAATCTCTTCATCTTTGACATAACCTCACCTGTGTTGACTCCACCGCCAGCCGTTTGGGTGCTGTTTTTTGTCTATTTCTTCACCAAATAGATAGATCTCTTCACCCCTTTCATCATTGAGCTATTCCCTAGCAAATTTGCCCAAGATATGATCAAAATCAAACTTTTTCCGCAAAATCCTTCATCGCCCGCTGTAGCCAACCAAAGCCTTATCAACCCCTTTTCGATGTCAACAACTGCCCCGAACACCACCAAAACACTCTCCTCGGCCTCCTTAATAAAACTCATCTTCCCTCTCCCTGTTTATCACACCAATCTCCAGCTATAGCCCACTGTTTTGGCCGCACGATTTTTGCTGATTTCTTCACCGAAAACTAGCCTGTTCCCACCATTCTTCTCACCGATACCCCCAATCCAAAACCCCCAATAGCCCTGACATTGTTCACTCACTAATTTCCACCCTCCTCTCTAGGGTTGGCATTTTGGAGGTTGATTCTTGAAATTGGAAGTTGTAGAAGTGTTCTGTGTGTATGGATTTGATATTTCTGGCCGTTAGTGACCTTCTATTGTTGGATTTCTGAAGCTCTAAGGCACGCCCACCAACGGCTCGACAAAAGTCCTAGGCCAATTTCCAATAGCCCACGCCTGTGTGTGCCACACTTGCGCGATTGCCTCTATGCTCATGCCCCTAACAACCCCCCCTCCCTCCCTCCCTTAGCGACAACCAACCCAAGCCCTATCAACCCCTTTTCGATGTCAACAACTGCCCCCAACACCACCAAAACACTCCCTTTAGCCTCCTCAATAAAACTCATCTTTCCCTCTCCTTGTTCATCCCACCAATCTCCAGCTATAGCCCATTGTTGTGGCTGCACGGTTTTTGCCGATTTCTTCACCAAAACCAGCCTGTTACCACCATTCTTCTCATCGGTACCCCCAATCTAAAACCCCCAACAGCCCTGAAATTGTTCACTCACTGATTTCCACCCTCCTCTCTAGGGTTGGCATTTTGGAGGTTGATTCTTGAAATTGGAAGTTGTAGATGTGTTCTGTGTGTATGGATTTGATTTTTCTGGTCGTCAGTGACCTTCTATTATTGGATTTCTGAAGCTTTAAGCCACGCCCACCAACCATTCGACGAAAGTCCCAGGCCAATTTCCAATAGCCCACGCCTGTGTGTGCCACACTTGCGCGATTGCCTCTACACTCATGCCCCTTGCGCGATTGCCTCTATACAACCCCCCCACCCCCCCCAAAAGAAAAAAAAAAAATTCGGATTTTGGAGAGTTTTTGTGTTTGTTTTGACAATTGATTGGAATTGTTTGAATGGTTGTTTGATTGATTAAAAAAATTAGACTAGATGGGGGTGGTATTGGTGGCGGTGCTAGAGAAGGAAGAGGAGGATGAGGTGGAGTTTTTTTATCTTTGATTTATTGTAATCTAATTGACTTGAAACTGAAATTAAAATCTAAAAATAGTAAATTTTTAACATCCGTTTTACGATTTTTAAATCACATTGAAATACATTAAAAAATTATATTTATATGTATGTAGTCATGTTATAAAACGAAGATCGTGACCTTCCATATTATATTAAAAGTTTATTAAAAAGGATGACATGAGCAAATACTCTAAAGTCTAAATTCTTAAATGCATTTACTTTTGATTTTATTAATGGCCACATACATATATATATATACACCAATTCAGCCAACTTTATTCATAAAAACAATGTGGTGAATCCCTTGAATCCATTTTGACTTTAATTTAATTTAACAATTGTCTATATATGTACAACTTCTAGTTTATATTTTTTTTATTAATCTTTGTCATGTATATGAATAACTCATCATCAAATTTTTTTTTTTTTAAATAATACAAGAAATCCGCCGCAGTTGTAAGCTCGAGTTTGAAATTACAATCCTAATGCATTGGAAAATTGAAATCTACGTTTAGGATTATGTTTCTAGCGCAAAACAGAGCGTTGGAAACTCACTAGACAGCATTGTCGGAGACAAATATCCTCGATGCTGGATATTGCATCGGTGTATGCATCCAAACTATATATCGATATAGTCTTTAATAATATAGTTGCTTTTGAGAGAGTTTGAAACTTCGTTAAGAGCAAATCACAGACTTAATCTGTTAATCATCTGATTAATCTTCTTGAGTTTATTTGTGATAATTAATTAAAGAAATCTTTAGGGGAGAAAGCAACGAAAGTTGTATTTTTCTAAATATTGATGACTATATTACTACGTTATATAGAATCTTAATCTATCCCAACACAACCTTATAAAGAAATAAATAAACTTTTAGTTTGAGTGTTATGGAAGGAGAAAACCCTTATAAACAAAGCTATTCATACAACTTTTTCCTTTTAAGTTTGAATTAGATATATATTATAAGGAAATTGTTAATGGAACTCTTAATTAAGGCAACCTTGAAGATATATATATCATTGAACTTGACTTTATTATTTTGAGATTATTGAAGGGAAAAATCTTGTACACAAGTTTAAACATCTTTTTCCTTATAAGTTCAATATTTCTATACAAAAATTAATTATCTAACATATAGGCTCTAATTTAAGGAATATTCTACCAATATAATATATATATATATATAATATATATATATATATAATATATAATATATTATATATATATTCAGTGGATGTTACTACATGGGAAATTAAATGAGATTTCAATTCCAAGAAAGACTAAAGATGATTGTTTTGTTTCTATCTTTTGAGTCGTTTTTGTACTTCAGTATGTTGTGTGGCAAATCCTTAAAGCATAAATTCACGTCACGTATCATTCTTTTAGGTTAACTTTATTACAAGTTACTATGTAATAAATATAAGCATATTTTTTTTCTCAAATTGGGGATTTGAATTCATTCATACTTTGTAAGCCGTACAATGTGCAACAAAAAAAAAAAAAAAAAAAAAAATACAAGAATAGTGAATTAGGATTTACATAAACATCCAAACCACTTAATATATTTTCTTTGTGCTCTTGTTGATTTATTTTTTTATCCCGATCCAACATCGAAATACAGTTTTACACAAACTCCTATGTAGATTCTACATAATTTCATTGGTGCGAATTACAACATCAACAGATATAAAATTTCATTATGTATAATTGACGCATACGGATATGTAATAATAATTAATTTTTATTTATATTAAATATGACCCTAACCTTCTATTGTTGTAGGCATGTCCTGTCAAAACTTGTTCATGAAAATGATATTAAATGCAAATTAACAACCAAAATCTTTCTTGGGATAATGTGGTTAAATAAGTCAACTTAAAGGGGGTCTACAACAAGCTTTGCTTCAAATCTCTACCGTCCATTTGTAGATCATGAACTATTTTAATTTTCATGAAATATTTTCTATTATTTAAAATTTTTTAAATTAATGGCCCACTTCATGAGGAAATATTTAAAATGGGAAATATATTCTATTTAAGTAAGGCTTAGAACAATCCATTTATGAATTCAAATATTCTGACGTGGATCATGTTATTAATTGTTGAAAGTAAAAAAGGTAACCAATACAAAGCCCTAATCTGTGGCAGCTGGTGGTTCGGTTGCTCGTATCTTTCATCAACCGCCAGTTCTATAAACGAAGTTTATGTAACTCTAATGTCTATCCCACGCGCTGGTCATGTGCGTCCCACAACTAAATTTCACCGCTATTTTCAATTTTGTAGGTATTTACCTACAATATTCGATTTATTAAAAAAACAGAAAATTTTAGATATTATTAAAGAATTTTATTTTAAAGTGGAACCAAATAAGGAAGAATTACATATTTTATATATAGAATACATATTCAACGAAAAATTTATTTTCAGCGAGAATCTTCTCCAATGAACCAAAAATTTGATTAAATAATATTTAAGAGTATAAAATGGTCATGTATCTTAAAATTGAGGGGAGTCTGAATTTACAAGACATCAATTTTATCGATGATATAATTTCCACACGCAAATGCTGTTTGAGTCGAAATACTAACATATAATGACATAGATAACTTGGCTTACCGTGAAAATCTCTATTAACGTACTTGTGCTATTGGAGTCAACGTTATGATGCAAATTTGCGTCGTAATAGCACATTCAAGGATCGTTTATCGAGATACTAATTATCCTAATTAGTAATGTGTCATTTATTACGTGAATTGATGTATAAATAGACAGTTGAAACATGAAATGATATATTAATACTAAAAAGGTATTTATAAGATTTATTTCACTTAATTGCTTATCTATTATATAATAAAAGATGTAACATTGACCATTACCATTATTGAATGTTCTATCCTACACGTTTGTCTAAGGAAAAGGAAGCTATTCATGGAAAATTTAATTGGTAATGAATATCAATAATTTCTTTTTAATTACTTGACAAGTAGTGCTAAAATCTGAAATCCATAGCCACGGCCAACAACCGCGCGTGAGAAAACCATTACATCCCTTCTTCCAAGAGGACAAATTGCCAGCATCAACGTGCAGCATGCACGCAGCATCCTTCATTTCATATTCATCACCCTATAAACTATAAACAAACGTTCCTTTAGCAAGAATCCTTCAAAGACGTGAAAAACAATCAATTCCATTCAAAGATATGGCTTCATCTTCTCCTCTAAACCCAAATTTCAACCAAAAACTCTTCATCATCTCCCTCTTCCTCATCTCCTTTCCCTCCTCATCATGTCTTCTCCTTCAAGCGCAACAACCCATTTCCCCGATCTCCCTCACTCCAAACCGAGCCCTCCCCCTCACAAACAAGCCCAAATGGCTCGAAATCATTCGGGAACACGTCGCCGGTCAAAAAATCAAAGTTGGTTTAGTAATGTAAAAATTATATACATGACGTCCATGGAACGTCCGCTGAAACGTTCATATACATTTCGATCGTGTTCCCGATGATAAAAGATGGGGTGACTTTTTCCCGGAATGGATTGATGAAGATCACAGTGGCACGCGCCGTCGTGCCCGGAAATTCCGAGCCAAGGCTGGAAGGTACAGGGACCTTGACGTGATAGGCGAGAGTTCCTGCGGAGGAGGAGACGAGAAGGAGGGGATAGGGATGTGTTAGGTTACAGGTTAATCTCGTGGTGGCAAATCTTGCGGTGGAGAGTGGGAGGGTGAACCGGATTCTGATGGACGGTGACGTGTGTTTGTGGGGTTGTGGACCTATGATTGAGATATTTAGATGTGATGATATGGTGATGCATGTAGGGGATTACTGGGTTTACAAGCCGGAATGAGAAGATTAAAACAAAGTTATTATGCCTGTTGGGTCATGCCAAATCTCTCCTGGATATGCAGAAAACCGGTGAGTTTAGTTCAATTTTTTTACTGAATTTTAATTGTTAATTAGTGTTTTATTACTTACCTATAATTATCTAGTTATTAGATCTACCTGAAAGTGAGTTTGGTTACCTAACATGGAAGAAAATATTTTTGTTGCCATATATAGATACAATTGTCCTGGGTTTGAATGTAAGATCGAGTACTTGTTCTAATAATTTAGAGTAAACGATTTTCCCACCCAAGGTTGCTTAATGACATTTTTCATCCAAAAAGTTTCAAAATACCACTTTTTTATCCAAAATTAATTTTCAGTTATTACCTAAAGTCGATTCCGGCAAAGAAAATTCTCTCTGTAGTCACCATTTGAACCTCCAATCTCTTCTCGAATAAAATCCTCTTACTCTGACACCTAATTTTTTGCAGATTGTCAGCACTATAAGATTAGAGTTTCCTATTCTTAGTTGATTTCCGCGGCAAATATTCAACGATCACCAAAATTTATCGATCGGCTTCTACTCTACAAAATTCTTTACTTAGTCTTAGAACTGTCAAACATGGCTAAAAAAGTGAAATGTATTTTGAATATTAACGGAAATAAACGTGGGTGGGAAAGTGTATTTTGAAAATCGTTGGGTGGAAAGGGTCATGACAAATCTTGGGTGGGAAAAAGTCCTTTGCTCTTTAATTTAAATTAATAAATAGTAACTACCCGTAATATAATTAAATAAGGGTCTTAAGTTTATTAAAACTTGTTTAATAACAATTAAGTTATTCTTAATTTTGCATTAATTAGTTCCGAATTTTAGTAAGTTTTGTTCCATTAAGCTTAATAAATGTTATGCAATTTCTCCAATCTATGCTTTCAATTTTGATTCTTAAAATGGATTATATTATGTATAATAAGTTTGGTGAATTAATGCAAAATATCTGTATATATCATTCATGAATCAGCATCTTATCTCCAATTGTCCAGCAATTTATTAATAAATTATATATAAACTTAAGTTGGTTGCCATATATAATTAAGTCAGAATTGATTCGGTACGTAACCTCCATATAGAGATCTTATATCATTATTTGTCTGATTAAGACTATGACATCTTTCATTAGAGAACTGCGTAGTTTTTTTTTTTTTTTTTTTTTTTTAATGTGTGGAAATAGTAAAAATGTATATATACATTAACGAGAGGTGTATCCTAAAAGAAGGTCAAAACCAAAACGAAAATGCCCATTATTTTGGACACGCAAGGCCAAAGAGGGCACAACCGCTATAAAAATTATTTAAAGCCATGAACGCTTACTCTCGTCATGTTTACGTTGGGAGGTGATGCATTTCCATACGTTTTTCAGTTTGATTTTACTGTTGTTTCTTCGAGTTGCAGGAAAGGAATGGAGAGATTTCTTGCAAACAAAATTGATTACACCGCACATATGAAACAGAAGCCTATGTAACAGTTCTTCATTCCTCAGAAGGTTATGTTTGTGGAGCAATCGCGTTGGCACAAAGCATAATCCAAAGCAACACTAAAAGAGACCTTGTTCTTCTTCATGATAAATCTTTAAGTGACAAATCTATACGTGGACTTCGAGCTGCCGGATGGAAGACGAAGTAATTTCGCGTATTCGCAGCCCGTTTCCGTAAAAGACTCATACAATGAATGGAACTACAGCAAGCTTCGTGTATGGCAACTCATTGAAATGAGAAAGTATTTTTATCGACGTGATCTTCTTGTCTTACGGAACATCGATAAGTTCTTCTTTTACCCGCAGTTATCAGCTGCAGGAAACGACGGGTCGTTGTTCAACTCAGGGATTATGGTGATCGAGCCATCTTTGTGCATGTTCGAGAAGTTAATGGTGAAGAGCTTCAAAGTGGCTTCATATAACGGAGGGGATCAAGGTTTTCTCAATGAAATTTTCACATGGTGGCATAGATTGCCTTCGAAGATTAATCATCTCAAGGTGTTTCGTACTCTTGATAATAAGGATAGCAACAACGATGAACATCGAATCCCAGAAAATCTTTATGCGATTCATTATCTGGGATTGAAGCCATGGTTGTGTTACAAGGAATATGACTGTAATTGGGATATGGTGGATCACCATATATTTGCGAGTGATTCAGCTCACAAGAAATGGTGGAGAGTTTATGATGCCATGCCGAAGAAGTTGCAGAAATTCTGTGGGTTAACAAAGCACATGAATTCGAGGATTAAGAAGTGGAGAGGGATAGCTAGAAATTCAAGTTTTTTTAATGGACATTGGAAGATTAGAGTAAGAGATCCTAGACAATACCATCTTGTTCAATAATTGAAGCACTACCATTAATTTCTATGGTATGACGATGCTAATTTTGAGTTAAAATTTGAAGATTTAATTTAGAGCGGAATATAACAAATAGTTCGCCATAATTGCTTTATTTTTAAAATATTTTTATTTTATTAATATACATTATATTATATTAATATTATCATATGCATTATAAAACTATATCGATCACGAACCAAAACCCCTTGGCGTTAAGATCTATTAGTCCAGAGATTGTAGTTTAAACTATTAGGATAGACCTCTGATATTAAACCATGTAAAGATAGTATGGTAATTCAGTTGTATATGTAAGGACAAAACGAGAATTTACTCCAAATTCAATCTTCTTTGTGCAGAAAATATTGTTTCAAAATTAAATTTGATTAATAGTTATCAGTTTGAGGGGGGGTATTTACAAGTACTTGAAAAGTCAGGTCCTTGAAGTTGAACCAGTAACTCAGGGTGAATTAATTCTCTCTCATCAAATTAATCCAGGAAGTGATAATTACAAGAATTGATTAATAGTTATTAGTTTTGGCAAGTGGCCACATGTCATCACTTCATAGGTTTGGGTCTATCTCTCATTAGACAAATTTCTCGGGCTTGGGCTGTTAATGATCCAGTTATGATTATTTGACCCATTAGATGTGGATACTTGCCAACCTTTCGTGGCCCGTGGGCCTATTTTCGGTTTGTGAGGAACCTCCGGTCTAGGTTGTCTCAACTCTCAAGTCCAATTTATTTAAGGTTGATGTTAACTTGGGTCTTTCTTTAATCCTTCAGTTAGCATTTGTTAAATAGGTGTTAGGTACATAGTCTTTGGAAATGATGTAGTAAGCTCCAGTTAATTAATTTACACTTAAGTCTTTTCTCTGGTCTTTCAACTTGTGTTTTTTTAAAGAGGAAATATGTGAATAAGCCAAGGAAGCAGGTGACAACTTCTGTGTATAGGTCTGCTGGTTCACATTACTGCAGTCTTTGTTTAATCGTTAAATTGAGAAGATGAACTTGTTTATATATAACACATAATAACTCAAATAATGTGGAAGCAGAAGAGAAAACGTATTATCGAAGAGAGATGGAGAGGGATACCATGAGTAACAAATCCCTGTGAGCTGTGACAATATTGGAGAAGAGGAGCTTGGGAAACTGCTGCTCTCAACCACACTATTATTTCTACATTTTCTGCCAAAATATTCAGGTTCTGATTAATTCACTTGTTTATGTTCTTAATTTGTTTTATGATAATTAATTAATAGGATTGCTTCAGCAGGTAATATATATGGTATGTTTTAATTGATTGGATTAATTCCTACATTGGATACTTATGATTTCCATGTAATATTTGGTTGCTACAACTCTCATTTTTTTCCGTTTTTCTTTTTTTTTTTTTCTTCACCGAGATGTTTAGAATGGATGAAATAGGGTATTATACTGTAGAATATTATCTTAAAAAATAGTTTCTCAATCTCAAATCACTCTCGTCACAAACAATATTTTGAAAACTGACCGCCCTTGTTTCTTGGTTTCCCGGTCAGATCGAACTTAACAAAAATACCTATGACAAATTACACATCAGTCCATAAAGGTTTAAAATCTAGCAAACACACCCCTATGATCTGGATAGGAAACCATGAAGGAGACAGTGGCGATGACGACAATCGGATACCAATCGAACTTCAGGATGTTGGGGGTTTTGATTTGGAGATGAAGGTAATGCCGATGGTGGTGTTAAGTTAGGTGTTTTGCGCTAAAATCGATTGGAATCAGGAAGGAAGCCGCTGGTTGGACTGGCGGTTTGTTACTATTCCACTAGTCCAAATCTGGCCCAATGCAAAATCGAGTTTGAGGGGTAAATCGAACTGGAGTTAACGTCGGTTCCCAGTCAGACCGATTTTCAAAATAGTGCTCACAAATTTTCAAATGTATTATCTTTTTCACTAGTATCGGCTTATCTAAGTTATTCTCACTTTATTAGGGCTTATTATGTCTACTTATCATAATAAGATGTTTTTAAATAAAATATTTGATTTAAATTTTCAACTATATAGTTATACCATTTGATTCAATGGTCTAAAATCTTAAGTGCTAGCTTAGAGGTGGTCAAGGACTAGTCCCAAGTAGGCCCGGGCCTGGGCTCGTTTGGGACTGGTCCCATTTGGGACTAGTCGCTCATGGGCTTGGGACCGATCCCAGGCCCATGAGCAATTTTAGGACTTGGACCGATCCTTAGGACCGGTCCTATGGCTTGGAAAATTTCTTTTTCCCCCCTGATCTTTTTTATATTTTAGGGCGAAATAAAATTTGGTTGGGGGTTTTTAGTATTTTTCAGGGGTAGATTAGTAAGTTTCTAAAAGTTTAAGTAATTTTAAAAAAAAATTAATTAATAAATTAATTAATAGTTAATTTTAACATAAATGTAATATTCACATTTCACACATTCACGCTTCACAAATAAACAATTAAATAATTTTTTTATTAAATTATTCATCTTCATCGTCAACAATATTTACATCATTTAAATCTGTATTCTTAAAGAGTTTAAGTAGTTTGAGATCTTCAGGGTGCTGTTGTAGTCTTTTTTCTGCATGAGTCCAATCATGTAAACACGTTATCACTTCAATCATCTCATCGGTTAAAGAACATCTTCTGTCTTCAACAATCCGGCGACTCGTTGAAAATGTTGACTCGGATGCAATTGTAGAAACCAGCAAAGATAAAATGTCACGTGCCATTTGGGCTACAATGGGGAATTGACTTTCATGTTGGTTTCACCATTAAAGAATATCCATGTCACGTTTCTCCTTCATTGTAATGAAGGACAGATCCACTTGTAGGTAGCGATTCAACTCATTTGGTCCATGCATGTACGAGCTAGAGCTGCTACTTCCACCATGTTCCATATACGTCCACTTGCTCGATCCTTGACAGAGGTCTGGATTAAGGTCCTGATCTTCTCTCCTAAACGTTCCACTTCCACTTCCATTGTACCTATTCTCATATAAAGAAAAAATGCTATCCAATTTTTGCTTAAAGTCAGTCAAATAAGACATATAATCATGTCCTAAATGCTGGCCTAACTTAGTAATCATATAGTTAACTATGTATAATTTAAACCTAGGATCTACAACAATGCCTAATCCATATAAGAATGGAATATCTAACCAATATTTCTCATATTTTTCTTCTATCTTTGAAACAATTTCCCTTAAAATGTCATTATATCTATATTTAGCAAAAGTTTTAGCAATTTGAAGTAAAATATCTAACACTAAATTAGTAGTCGGATAATAAATACCACTAAATGTATTAGTAGAATCATAAAAAATTTTAAGAAATGAATAAAAAAGTTCACAAACCACCCAATCATCATAGCTGACAACTTCCTCTGGATAGTGCTTCCGGTTGACGAAATCTGTAATTTGTTTTGCAGTTGGCAAAACTTTTTCCAACATCAAGTAGATGGAGTTCCAATGGATAGGCATGTCCGTACATAACTTCAAAGGTCGAATCGGTGGGTCTTCTTGCTTATAATATTTGACGTACTCGTATCATCTTTTATTGCTACCACCGATGATAAATCCGATAGCTGCGCGCACCCTCTTCATCTTCGAATGTATAGCATCTAAACCTGCTTTAATTATCAAATTGATGATATAACAAGCACATCTCTGGTAAAAAAATTTGCCTTCACCACGCAGATCCAATCTCTTTTCAAATAAAGAGGTTGTTGCGGTGTTACTAGCTGTATTATCAAGCGTTAGCATTACAACTCTATCAGTTAATAGATATTCTTGTAAAACTTCAACAATTGTAAAATAAATAGTTTCAGCACTATGTTTTTCATATAATGGTTTAAAACCCATCAATTTTTGTTATAAACCCCAATTATGATCTAAGAAATATACTGTGATAGTTAAAAAATTAGTTTTTGATCTACAAGCTCATATGTCTAATGTAATTGCAATATATATATTCTTAAAATTTTGAAATTCATTTTTAAGTTTATTATTTATTTTTTTATAAACTTTTAGTATATCTCTTTTACTTGTACTTCTACTAACAAGGGTATATGCTGGACAAAATGCAGTTTTAATCATGTGAATAAAATAAGGATTTTCAGATAAACAAATGAGAGAGTCCGTGGCAACTATGAATCTTGCTATTTCTTCTTGTGCAACATGTGCATTGTATTGTCGTGTTGTGAGAGTTGAGGATTGTGGATTAAAATTAAGTTGAGTTTGAATTTGCCTACCTGATCCGGTTGAAGATGTACCGGGCAACTGCATTATTTGGGGGTGCTTCTTCTTACCCCTCCCCATTTGTCTTTGGCCGTTTTGATTTGGTGAAGTGGCGTCATCATCGGACACGACCCTCTTTGACGGTCGGGGATTGGGCTATGCCAGTGCCCGTTGACTCGCAGCTCACATGTGTTTGGCTACACCTTGTCCCGATTGAATGTGGTTGTGGAATTACAGTTGTTACCTCTAGAGGAAAGGGTGAAAATGAATTGAACCCTTCTATTTCTTCGGTGGATGGAACTTAAAACTCATTTATGGATGATCATCTGAATGCATCATTTCGGGAATGCATTATGAATTTATGATAAAATAATAAATAATTAAAATTAAAAAAATAAAATAATAATATGAATAAGAGATGATATTGAATAATATAAATAAATTGAATAATATAAATAAATAAATAAATAATATGACCATTAAACAAAAGTTACAATTTTTGTTTTTAAATTTTGTAAAATTTTCTTTTAACCCCTATAATTTATGTTTATTTTCAAATTTATAGGGGGTTTTATGTAATTATACAAGAGACTAAAAAGAAAATGATTAAAAAGGTTTGGGCTCAGGCTTGGGACCGCTCACAGGCCTAGGACGACCGCTCTCAGGCCCGGGCCTTGGAGGAGGGCCCAGTGAAGGGACCAAACCCTCTTGCTTAAGCCTGGTCCAGTTTTAGGACCAAGCCTCCTAGGACCGGGTTTTGGGACTGGGTTTTTGAACCCAATCCCAAATGCCAACCTCTATGCTAGCTAGATATTTAGGCAACACGTGGGCCACAAGGGTTGTCTCAGTTAGGTACTAGTATTCTTTGATCGTTGGACTGTCACATGTTAAATAAGAAAATTATCTTGAGCCGAAGGGGAAGAACCTTAACAAGATGATTGTTATATATATATATATATAGAGAGAGAGAGAGAGGATCTCTGGTGCTATTGACTACTTATTAATTTTCGGCCAAAATATTTAGGTTCAAATGCGCATCAGTTTCATTATTTTTAATTATATATTCATGTTCTTTCTTTTATCATTTTGGTATAGGAAAAATTAATCCTAGTTATTCTGATGTTTGGTTTAAAAAATTAATGAATCATGAATAAATAACATATGGATATCAATGTATATGCTTACAAAGAAAACGAAAAAGAAAATTGTCCTATTTCTATAATTTCTAACTCTGAAAATAGTTTAAGATGTTATATATATCAACGCATTTTAAGGTATTACGGCATTTAGATATTAATTTGAATCTTCTTGTTAAGATGTCATTTTATCTGAAAGCATGCATATATTAACTAGTAACTAGTTACTCAACATTATATTAATTACTTTTTTTTTTTTTTTTAAGAATTATTTTAGGATTATAAACAAAAAGAAGACCTTAATTAGCATTCAGGTGATGGGGATATGAGAGATTGTGTAGTATCTTATATGAATAAATATTTGTAATATATGAGAAAGTGAGAAACTAATGCATGCATATAAGTTAAGTTAGGAACTCGAGGCAATTTTAAGTAAATAAGCTCATACACAAAAATGATTTCTTTTTGAGTTTGCATTTATATATTTATTTTTAGTGATTATTTTGTCTGCACTTTTGTTATAAGAATGAACTTGGAGATGACTGCTTCCTTGAAACATGAGGATTTGGTCCAAGAGTTGCGAAATGATATTATCAAAAACTTGGAGTCTGAGCTTGATCCTGATCAGTGTTGTATTTACAAGGTTCCTGAGCCGATTCGTAGCGTAAATAAAGAAGCCTACACTCCTCACTTAATTTCAATAGGTCCTCTTCACCATGGAAAACAAGAATTTGCTAACATGGAAAAGACAAAAAGAAGATATATGATAAGTTTTTTCCAACGAACTACAATTGAGAAACAAGATGAAATTCTAAGCTTCATCAAGGACAACGAAAAAAAAATTCTTAGTTGTTATGCAGAGACATCTGTGCTTCCAGCTTGTGAATACGTCATGATGATTTTGTATGATGCTATCTTCATCATAGAACTCTTCTTAAGGAATATAGTCACTCCAAGTGATTCATTGCAATCTTTATATGTTCTCGGCTCAGACTTTCAATTACTTGAGAACCAACTTCCATACTTTGTCCTTGAGGGAATATTTGTGTTAGCTTATGTTGACTCTTGGGAATACAAAGGCACCTTCATGCAACTTTCTTGTACTTTCTTCAGTCAATTTACGAATATGAAATTGATTACTTCCCAGTCGCCAGTTAAACATTTCACGGATTGGAAAAGAAATTCTCTATTGGAAAACTGGCGAACATCAGGTCAAGCCACCACATTTATTACAGATTTACCATGTGCAACGAAACTGCATGAGTCAGGAGTGAAGTTTAAGAAAATTGAAGGAGAAGACATGTTAATAAGATTTGAAAAGCAATTACATGAGTTGCACCTCCCATATTTATATATAGACGATGATACGGAACGTGTACTGAGAAATGTTCTAGCTTTGGAGCAATGCCATTACCCATGGAATACTCATGTTTGCGATTTTCTAAAGCTAATGGATTTCCTAATCGATTATGAGAAAGATGTGGATTTGCTTGCCGAACATGGAATTATTTCCTGCTTTGCGAGGGACAATGCTTCTATAGCGGATATGATCAACAAACACTGCCAATATATCGTTTTCGGCCCAAGTCCTTACCATGGAATGTGCGAGGAGCTCAAAGAACACTGTAACAGTCGTTGGAACAAAACAATGGCAACTTTAAGAAGAGTTTATTTCAGCAATTTGTGGAGAGGCACAGGAACTATTGCGGCAGTTACACTTCTACTGCTCACTGCCATACAGACCATATGTTCTGTCTTTCAAGTTGTGTGATTTTCATTAATACTTGTATTTGACCCGCTGTTTACTTGTGGGATAATTTTGCATTTGGAGTTGCTTCAGTCTGAATAATAATCATATGCTTGCTTACCATATGTTTCTCATCAACTCAGTATAACATGTTCTATTTTTTCTTCTCCAAACCCCTGCTATTATATCAATCATTAGATAAGAAAACCCATTATCTTTGATTCTTTGGCGGCTTATTAATAGGAATGTATAAGAAAATCCGGCCGGGCATAGTTTAATATAAATTTAATTACTTTAAAATAAGAGTATGTTTGTTATTTCAATATAATTTATAGTTAACTAATATTTTTTAAGTCAAAGCACTATAGTAATAGTAGTAATTTGAAACGAGAAGGACCGAACATAAGATTTGAAATAATTGGACCAACAGGTGCTAACTGAGACCACAGGGACGAAAAAAGAGTTATCCCTTGGAAAATCAAATGATTCAGCTCACAAGAAATGGTGGAAAGTTTATGATTCCATGCCGAAGAAGTTGCAGAAATTTTGTGGGTAAGCAAATTAATTCGAGGATTAAGAAGTGGAGAGGGATGGCTAGAAATTCAAGTTTGGTTAATGGACATGGGAGGATTAGAGTAAGAGATCCTGTACAATACCATCTTGTTCAATAATTGAAGCACTACCATTAATTTCTATAGTATGATGCTAAATTTTATGTGAAAGGTAGATAGGAATCTGAGTTAAAATTTGAAGATTAAATTTAGAGGGAAATATAACAATTAGTTCATCATAATTGCTTTATTGTTTCAATATTTTTATTTTATTAATATATAGTATAGTCTATTGATATTGTCATATGCATTATAAAATAACATGGATCGCGAACCAAAACCCCCATTAAACTATTACAATAAACCTCTAATTTTAATAGATGTTAAACCATGTAAAGACAATATAGTTATTCAATTGTGTATGCAAGGACAAAACGAGAATTTACTCTTAATTCAATCGTCTTTGTGTATAAAATATTGTTTTAAAGTTAAATTTGATTAATAGTTATTAGTTTGAGGGGGTTATTTACTAGTATTTGGAAAATCAGGACCTGCAATTATTGAGCCAATAACTCAGGGTTACTTTGTGTTGAAAATATTGTTTTAAAGTTAAATGTGATAATTACAAGAATCGGTGCTTAATGATAGGCTACCTAAATTGGGGATGCAGAGAGGTATCTTGTTTTGGCAAGCGGCTACCTGTTATCACTTCATAGGTTTGGGCCTATCTTTCATTAGACAAATTTCTCGGGCTTGGGCTGTTAATGATCGAGTTATCATTACTTGACCCATTAGATGTGGATACTTGCCTACCTTTAATGGCCTGTGGGCCTAGTTTCGGTTTCTGACGATTCTCGAGTCTAGGTTGTCTCGAGTGAAATTCCTTGCCATCTGATTTTTCTTTAACTGTCATCACTTCATAGGTTTGGGCCTACCCCTTATCAGACAAATTTATTGGGCTTGGTCTTGGGTTCATGGCCCATGGGCTTTGTTTAAGTTTGCAAGGAGTCTTGCGTCTAGGTTGTCTCTAAGTCCAATTCCTTGGCATCTGATCTTTTTTTTTTTTTTTGGTTAACGGAGGTGTTTGGGCCAACTTACGTGCACTTTGACTACGTATCTTGACTATTCCTCAGGAAAAGTTATCCTATAGCAACCCACCGTCACGACCCCTTTAGGTAAATCATGAGTAAATGTACTACCTTTGTGCTCAGTAAGGAATCGAATCTAGGACAGCAGGTTGAAGTCAAACACAACCCCCTTGGTTCGTTCTTACTGTTCGGCTACCCATGGGTGGGTCATCTGTTAGACTTTTCACAATATGGTCCTACACTTCTCATATAATTACATTTTGGTCCTTGTTGATGTGGACTGATGTGGTCATACGGTTGTGTCTCTTGAGCAGTTGTCTTTGATGGAAAGACAACTTCATATAAGAAAGACACTTTACAGGTCCCCATTGATGCAGTTTTTATTTTTAGTTTCGAAACCATCACTCCAAAATTGCAGTCAGTGGAAGATCTTGTAATTTATAAAGGAGCAAGAAGAACAAACAACAATTGCTATGGCCGGAGGTTTGTCATTTACTTCCGCATATATTCCATGGAGATTTTATATTGAAATTGATTGTATTATCAATGAATATTGGAATATGAATGTGTTTTATATCATCTGATTTTCCTACTAAATAAAGATTTGTATACAATGGCAAAACCTTTTAAATATAAACAAAATGACTGGAGTTGTTTATCACGTGGCATATATTGTAACATATTCTTTAGGATTTATCTTATTTTATGTGGAAGACCCAGTTTATTTAAGGTTGATGTTAACTTGGTCTTTCTTTAATCCTTCAATTAGCATTTGTTAAATAGGTGTTAGGTACATGGTCTTTGTAAATTATGTAATAAGCCCCAGTTAATTAATTTACACTGACTTCACTTAGTCTTTTCTCTGGTGGTTCAATTAATTAGCATTTTTTAAATAGGAAATATGTGCATAAGCCGAGGAAGTAGGTGACAACTTGTGTGTATAGGCCTGCTGGTTCACATTACTGTAGTCTTTGTTTAATCATTAAATTGAAAAGATGAACTTGTTTATACATAACACAAATAATGGAAGCAGAAAAGAAAATGTATTCTCGAAGAGAGATGGAGAGAGATACCACGAGTAACAAATCCCTATGAGCTGTGACAATATTCTAGAGGAGGATCTTGTTAGAAATTGACTTGTCCCACTCCTAGTTGGACTAAGAATTGGACAATTAGCAATTTCACATCTAATAGAAATAGAATAATTAGCAATCCCATATCTAGTAGGAATAAGAATGAAAAAAATTTTGAAATCAAATACTAGTAGGGGTGAGCACGGGTAGCGGGTAGAATTGGAACCGGGGGTAAGAACCGGAACCGGAACCGGAACCTACCTAGAACCTGCATTGTGCGGGTAGGTTCCGGTTCCAATTTTTTGGAACCGCTACTGTCCGGTTCCGGTTCCGGTTCTTGCATGTGGAGGAACCGGAATCGGAACCTATAAAAAGGGTACCCTGTTTGGAACCTGTAGGGGGTACCCGGTTTGGAACCTATTTTGGAACCTGTTTGGAACCTGTTTGGAACCTGTTTTGGAACCTGTTTTTGGAACCTGTTTAGAACCTATTTTGGAACCTGGACTATAATAAAATATTTGTGAAATATAAATAATGGGGGAGTTTCTATTATTTTACATATAAAAAAAATTTAAAATGGAAAAGTTAAATTTTAGAATAACCTAATTAAATAAATATAAGAATACAATTATACTTATTACATATAAATTACACCATATTAAAAGCTTTAATATATTATAATACATTAATATTAAAGTTTTGATCAATTAAGTGAATAATTGGAATTATGATCCAATTAAAAGTGTTTTACATTTTTAATGTTATTAAAAGAATTATTTTTGAATAAAATAGTATATTTGATTGAGTAATAATATATTTAGTTATTTACTTCAATTATCAAGTTCTAAGTATATCTATAATAAATTAGTAATTAATTAATTATATATGATAAATTGATAAACATTAATAAATTTAATTACTAGTTAAATATCATACTTAATCAATTATAACATTACATTATAGTTAAATGATTACTTAATTAATTATAATTTTATAACATTACTTAATTGATTTATAGTATAATTAATTATAGCATTACATTAATTGATTACTACTTAATTAATTGACGATAAGTTATAACATATTAATAGTGAATTAATTGACCTTTATATTAAATTTAATTAATTATAGCATTACGTTATAGATTTATAGTATATTACTTAATCAATTATCCATTTATTATAACATTGCCAAAACTTAAAATTAAATGATAAAAATTAATTATAATAATATTACATTAAAATTTATAGTATGGTTACTTAGTAGTTAATTCAATAAACTTACTTAAGAATGATTATATAATTATTATAACATATAATTAAATAATTACTATTGATTATGTCATTATATTATAATATTAGTAATTACTAATTTACCTACATAACATAGCTATATACTTAATCAAATGATAAGAATTTAATTAATTATAACATTACCTTATAAACATTTTATTATAACATTAATTATCATTACATTATAGTTAAATATTACTCAATTATTATAATATTATTATATTACATTATATATTATATCACTTACTTAATTATAGCGCATTATTAGTTAAATGATTACATAATTACATAATTAGTTATGAATATAACATTCATTATAAACATTAGTAATTTGCTAATTTACTATATTATACATTACTTAATTAAACGATTAAAAATTTAATTATTATAACATTACCTATATATTATAATTGATTACTTATCATTATAACATTCCATTATAAACTTAGTATATATTAATCAAAATTGAAATTTAATAATTATATATAAATTATAGATTTATAGTTGATTACTTAATTCATTATAACATTACATTATACTATTATGTATGATCTATATTAATATAACATTCACATAATTAATGATTACTTAATTGATTATGAGTTATGATATTATGTTTAAAACATTAGTAATTACTAATTTACTACATAACATTAGCACAATACTTTTAAATGATAAAATTTAATTAATTATAACATTACCTTATAAACATTTTATTATAAACATTATTAAACATTACATTATAGTTAATAATTACTCAATTAAATTTAATATTATTAATTACATTATTATTATGATCACTTACTTATTATAGCATTAAACATAATTAAATGATTACATAATTACTTAATTAGTTATGAATTTATAACATGACATTATAAACATTAGTATATACTATATTATTACATTACTTAATTAAACTTAAAAATTTAATTATTATAACATACCTTATATATTTATAATATAATTACTTAATCAATTATAACATTCCATTATAACCATTAGTATATTAATCAAATG